AAAATTAATAAAATATAGAAAGAAAAAAAAAGAAGACCAAAAAAAAATATAAAGTGCAGGTACAAAACACAACACGCATATACAAGGCAATAATTTTTTTAAATAAATGGTATGCAGAGGTGGTTGGGCATGTTTGGATTCTCCTTTTTTGGGGGCAGTTTCTCTGAGTGATTCAACTCCTGGCAGGCTGGCCCACGGAGGGTGGAGGGTCAGGGGACTTTAGAAAAGAAGCAAAAGGTCCCTCATCAGGCACCTCGTATACCCTTCTTCTTGTGAGCGCAACTGGACAGAGACCCCACCGCCAAGACTTTGGTCAGGACGCAGAGTCTTAACCCCTGACATCTCCCCTCTGCCAGGCGGGGCGGAGCAGTGCGCTGCGGGCTCCCTGACCGCAGTGCCGCAGCGCGCGCCCCGCCTCCCCAGCCTCCTGGTGCCCACACCCCGAGCGGCTCCCTAAGCAGCCCCCCCAAACGGCCGCGCGCCCCAGCCCGGGTGACCTGTCTCTGAAACCCCTCCTGGGGGACCCCCCCTTGGGGACCCCGACCTCGAGGACCACCGACCTCGAGGACCCCGACCCTTGTTTCTTAGCTTGGCTGCCAGGTACCTGTCCCATTGCTCGGAGCCTCAGGTGAGCTCCTGCCGAGACCCGGACCCCTGCCTCCTGTTGTCTGGTGCCCTGTTCCGTTGCCTGTGAGCGCCGAGACCAGGTGAGCTCACGCCAGCACCCCGCCAGGAGGACCTCCGACCCCTGACTCCTGATGGCTGGTGCCTGTCCTGTTTTCCGTGCTCCCCGAGGCCAGGTGAGCTCCCCCTAAGACTTGGCCTTGGGGACTTCAACCCCAGGGACCCTGACTTCGGAGACCCCAACCCTTGCTTGTTGTCTCCGCCTATGCCGGTCCTGCTGTTCATGCGTCCCAGCCCTCGTGAACTCCCTCCACAACTCCTGCCTCTGGGACCCTGGCCTTGGAGACCCTAAACTCGGGGAGCCTGCGACACTGCCTCCTGGCTTCTGCACCTTGGTCCAGTGCCATGGGAGTGGGGGTGGGCTTCTGGGTAGAGGCAGCCCTGGGATCTAGCACACTCCTCTGCAGTGCCCCTTTGTGCCCCGACATATCCTGGGCCCGGGGTGATGGGGACCCCCAAGACCCAAAGTGGACTGGCATCTGGGACAGATGTACATTCAAAGGCTGGAGATTGCTGGACCTCCAGGACTCCTGAACCCTGCACTTCCCAGGACACTTAGTTGAGAACGACATCAGGGAAGGGGAGACTAAAGTTGGGCCAGGGTCTTCTGTCCAGGACCCAAGGGTTCTTGCTGAGGATGTGCCAGGAAAAGGGCCCCACTCTGAGCCTAATTTTCCCCTCTCTAGGAGGTAGAGGAGAATTCCCAGGGTGTTGGGAGTCAATGGGGACAGGATGTGGGCACCTATGCATAGCCTCCAAATGCTGCTGGTCAGTGGGCAGCAGGGGAAGTAGAACCTCAGAGATTTGGAATCCCTTCTGTGCATCCTGGTAAAGCTTTTGGGCTCTGAGTTGGGTCCCCAGGCTTACCTGGCCCACAGTAGGTTCTCAGGAAGGGTGTGAACACACCCATTCTTTCCAGACCAGTCTAGGAGAGTTGAGACAAAATTCCCCCCAGGAAGGGAAAGGCATGTTATGGTTAGATCTGGCTAGAGGGTTCCCAGGAGCCATGTCCAACAGGTGAGGACTGAGATCAGTCAGGAGAAGGTGGATGCTGAGCCAGGGGGAAGCCAAGAGTTGGGGAGGAGCTCCTGGGTATGTGGCCAGTTGCCAGCCAAGTTTTACAGACCCTGAGCTGATGCCAAGAGGGTAAAAAGAGCACGGGCCTGCCCAGGTGGCCTCAGAGTCACCGCCTCCACCTGCGCCTGTGCTGACACCTCTGGGACACGTGAGACAAGAGGCCAGATGATAGCTGGTCCTACCCTGATGATTCTCTTCTCAGCCCTCCTCCTCTGGGGTACACCTCAGAGCTCAGCCTGGGGTGTGGGAATGACCCAGTGAGCCTCTGCCTCAGCCCCACTCCAGCTAGACTTCAGGAAGAACTTACAGGGAAAACAGAAGGGCCAGTGGGACAGGCTTGTAAACCTTTGTCCTTTGTCCTAGGCCTTCCAAGTCCACCCTAGTAGGCCCCTCCCCTAGCCATGTGGCCTGCAGGACCTCAGGGTGATAGGGGGCTTCCTGGGCCCCAGGTGAGGAGCGGGGCGTGAGGCCACCCAGATGCTTGGCAAGCCTTTGCCCCTCAGTCTCCCCATCTGCTCTTGGGTGTGAGCTCCTTTCTGGAGCTCACTGGATGTTCTTGAAGAGTCAGGGGTGATGGGTGGGTGCTCAGGGCTGCTGGCCAAGGGCTGTGGCAGGGCTCCGTGCCTGACGTCCACCTCCCACCACATTGGGCCCCAGAGCTGGGCGGTAGCTTTTGTTCACAGCAGAGCTCGGTTTCCTGGGGGACCAATGGACTGGCCCAGTACACCCCAAACCAGCCCCCTCCTGGCCACTGCTCTAGGGAGAGGAGGGGCTGAGGCTGGACCGCCTCCTGGACCCCTGCCCTCCCCTGCCCAGCCCTGCCTTCCAGGCAGTAGCCTCAGTCCACTGCTGGGCAGGGATTAGGAGTCAGGCTGCCTTGGAAGAGGTGGGTATTCAGGCCTGTGAGGTGGGGGGAGACCTTAACTCTCACCCAAGAGGGTGGCAGGGAATGAGGAGGAAGGGGAAGCCAATCAAAGAGGAGGGTGTTCTCATGCCTGAGGAATGAATCCTAGGCATGGAGTCTCCTGGGGAAGTGGGGCATCCTAGAGGCCTGAGGGGCAGGAGGAGGTGGGGAGCAAAGACAGGAGCTGTACTCCCAGGGTGTAAGCTGACAAGGCTCACAAAAAGAGAAGAGGTGAGAGGGTGCGGCTGCCCTAGAGGGACCTGGCCTCCTCTGCACCTGCCTCCCCACCACACCACTGCTGGCCTTGCTGCCAGAGCCCCCCAAGTCTCTAGCCTCTAGTCTCTAGTGTTTCTAGCCTCTCTCTGAAATGCCTTCGTAACTCTGTCCTGATTTTCCTCTCCCTGCAGGCCTGATAAGCACCTCCAGCCAGAATGGCAGCCACAGAGGTATCTTGGAGCCCCCCAGAGGGTCTGCCCTCAGCCTGACAGCCTGCCACCTGTGCGCCTGTCCTTCGCCATTCTGGGCCACTCGCCATGGGTGGCTGCTTCTCCAAGCCCAAGCCAGGTGCCTGCCTCCTCCCCTCCTCCCTGCTTGGCCTCCCCACCCCCCTCTGTGCTCGCTGGACTTGAAGTAGGTCAGGCCAGGCAGCAGGCACTTGGAATGTTAATGAGCCAAAGGCAGGATAGGTTACAGGGAGACAGGCCATTCTTGGGGCTCCCCCTGCAAGTGGGTTCTCCCTCTCTGATTGGGAACTTGGAGTGCTAAAAGAGGAAGTGGCAGCTGGAATCTTTTTGGAAAGGGAAGGGGAGGAGGGTTCATGCTCAACTGTGAGTTGTACCCCCACCTGGGATGAGGGGCTAGAGAAGGGGTCTCTGGGTCTCTGGGACTCCTCAGCTGTGTGACCCAGGCACTAAAGCTATATTTTTGAGGCTATTTCTCTATACAATGGGCACATTAGCCTGAACTCAGGGTTCATGTTTTCTGACCTCCTGTGTGACCTTGGGACTCCACCTTGGCCTCTCTGGGCAGAAGTCTCCCATCTCCCCATTTACACAAGAAGGCCCTCCCCATGTGGCCTTGGTGACAGCGGGGGCATATTCTGGGTACTGGATAGATCAGGGTCTGTTCTCCACTAAAGGCCAATTAGTCTCCCTACTTCTCCTCTTGACATTTAGGGGAATGGGGAGGTCAGCTGTATGATGGGTGATTACACAGACTGAGAAAGACTGCCCAGCACCCTCACCTGGCCACCACCCTGTCCAGCTCTACCCATCTCTCCTTACCTGATACTCACTGGGCTCCATTACCTCAGAACCTGGGAGCCTGTCTCCTTTTCTGGGGTCTGATGGAGGGGAGGGGAGCAGTGATGGCTCTTCCAGGGTGCCCTGTGCCACCCACCCACTCTTCCCAACTCTTGTGCCATGGACAACTCAGCTCGCTCCAGTCCTGTTGCTACTTGCCTTTGTGTGACTGGGTTTCATGCCTTTACATCCTGATCCCAGCCTTGCTCCTTACGATGTGGCCAGGAGCTGGTGGGCTGCCAGGGGACCACACAGGAACTCCAGGACACCCAATGTGAGGACAAGCCACTCTCTCCACCCTGTAGCTTGTGCTAAGAACTCAGGTGTCTGGATGCAAACCCAGTGCTGCTCCTTCCCAGCTATGTGACCTTGGACAGGTGCTTCCATCTCTCTGAACCTTTTTTTCCGCCAGTGTGTGTACCTGGGGGCCCACCTTTTCAATGAGTTGTGCTTGGCAAGGCATCTGACACACTCTGGGAACAAACCACTCTCACCTCTTTGGGAAGGCTCTTATGTGGAGCTGTGCGCTTGTCAGTTTAGAACTGTGTGCCCTGGGCTTTCCAAAGGCTGGTATTGCAGAAGCACATCTCCTGACCTTTCAGAACTAAGATGTTAAGCATTGTCTTTGAAGACTACATATACAAGTTGTCTGCTCTGGACTGTGGTCTAGAGGGCCCTGGTCCAGGAGCTCATTCGCTTAGGGTGTTTGGTTCTGCCATATACTGTGGTGTTGGTATTATTAGGTGCTGTCGAGTATGACTCATAGCAACCCCACGAACAACAGACCTAAACCCTATTCTGTCTTGCACTATCCTCACAATCTCTGACACACTGGAGCCCATTGCTGTTGTCACTGTGTCAGTCTATCTGGTTGAGGATCTTCCTCTCTTTTGCCATCCTTCCACCTCTCCAAGCATGATGTCCCTCTCCAAGGAATAGCCTCTGCTAGTTACTGTTGTCGGCCAAAGGAGAAGACTGAGATGGGGGCACAAAGGAATGGGGTCAGGCCAGAAAGTGTGAAGGCAGGGGGCTAACAACTGGGAGAACTGCAGCTCCTATGCTACGCCTTTCTGGGTTTTTATTGAGAATCATCAGCTTTAGTTTGCTTGGTTTCACAGTCAACACTCTTGGCACCAGTAGCCAGGAAATTAAAAGGCATATTGCCATGGGAAAGTCTGCCGTTAGGAACCTTTCCAAAATGCTGAAGAGCAATGGTGTCTCTCTGGAGACTAAGGTGCGTCTGATACAGGCCATGGTCTTTGCAATCACTTGTTATGCATCAGAGAGTTGGAGAGTGACTAAGGAGGATAGAAGGAGAATTGATGCGTTTGAGCTGTGGTGCTGGAGAAGAGTATTAAGGGTACAATGCACTGCTAAGAAAACAAACAGATTCATCCTGGAGAGGGTTAAACCAGGCTGCTCCTTGGAGGCAAGGATTCTGAGGCTCCGTCTAACATACTTTGGACATGTTGTAAGGAGGGAGGGACCGGTCCTTGGAGAGGGACATTATGCTTGGTAGGGTGAAGGGACAGCGCAGGAGGGGAAGGCCCTCTATGAGGTGGATTGATTCAGTGACTGGGATAATTGGTCTGGGAGTGTCAGAGACAGTGCGATTGGCACAGGACAGAGCAGAGTTTAGGGCTGTTGTAAATAGGGTCATTATGAGTCGCTACAACAACAACAACAGGAAGGTAAACAAAGGAAAATCACAAGGGAGTAGTAAATAAAAACAAGGATCATGGAGAAGTCTTTTGTATATAAGGCCAAATTCTTCTCTACTGTTTATTTTATGCTTATCTCAGGAGGGAGAGATTCAGTAAATACAAACTAAGGATTATATAGACTCTTAAGGATCGCCTTGGTGCTACAGGGTGAATTCTAGCTTGTATCAGCCTCCCTCCTATCCTGAAATAGCATTTGGTTTATTATTAATATTAAATTTGATATTTAGCTTCCCACAAGTTACATGCCCAAAGTATGTGAGACAAAGCTTTGTCTTTCTTCCATGTAGCACTCTGGCTGCATCATCTCCAAGAAATATATTTATTTTTTTTGACAGGCACTCTCTTCTCCAGCACCAGATTTCAAAAATATTGATTCTTCTTCTCTCATCCTTATTCATTGTCCAGCTCTCAGCAGCCTTACAGCATATGTTGTTGTTATTAGGTTCAGTCGAGTCGAGCACACCTCATGAACAAAAGATCTGAACCTTGTTTTATCCTGTGCTATCCTTACACTTCCTGACACACAGAGCCCATTGCAGCAGTCACCGTGTCAATCCGTCTGGTTGGGGGTCTTCCTCTCCTTCGCCAACTCTCCACCCTTCCATGCCCTTTTCTAAGGAATAGTCCCTCTTCGCAACATGCCTAAAATATGTGAGGCAAAGACTCATCATTCTTGCTTCCAAAGAGCACTACATTTGAACCCTCTCCAAGTCATATCTGTTTGTTCTCCTGGCTGTCCATGGGATGTTTAATGCTCTTCTCCAACACTACAGCTCAAAGGCATCAATTCTTCTGTCATCCTTATTCATTGCCCAGGTCTCAGATGCACAGCTAATAACTGGAGAGACATATAGGCATAGGAATATGGAATTATCCCCTGCCAGGCCTGTGTGTGGTCCTGGGTGTTGTTGGTGTCTGTTCCCCTTGCCTCCTGCCTGCATGCCTGAATGCCTAATTGTGGATGAGTGCTTATGGCTAATACTGTAGGAGCAACAGCAGTGCAAAATGGTGTCAGCCATTGTTGACTTGTGCACTTCTTTTTCTTTGGTGATTGTATCCAGCCCTTTTGTCTAAGGCACCTCTGGGTGAATTAGAACATAAATATATTGTTTAGCTGCCAGTAGATTAAACCCTGTATCACCCAGGAACGCCTGTCAGGACTACCTGAAGACTTTCCTTTTCCTCCATAACTGCCAGGAAGCACAGAGGTTATGTTGGGGAAATGCTGCTTCCCACTCTGTCTGTTGGCTCCTCTGGGTTCATGTCAGACATCTCTGTGGCACCACAGAGGAAAGCACTGTTCTCCCTGCCTACTAACAGAGTCTGCTGAGGTGCAGAGGGGCTGACACTGGGCACACTGAGGCCATGGGGCAGCTGGGAATCAGAACCAGGTCAATTCGCTTCTGGCAGAGAAGCAGAGGACCTTGCCCAGCCATCGCCATCCTTCCACAGCTGCTGACCAATGGCTCCCCATGAAAACCCTGTCTGTGCGCTTCTCAGAGCCTTCTGGAAGGAAGTGGAAGATGGAAGTGGCCTGGCTGGGCTGTCATGTGGATTTCTGCCAACCTGTCCCAACCAGCTCCTTCCCCAGACTTCACACAGCGTCAGCTATGTCCAAATTATTTTTATTCCTTCTGCAAACATTCTAAGGCTGTTAGGTAAAGAAAAGCCCAGTCATAGTTCCCAGTGCCACCACCAGAGCCACTGTAGGCATGTCTGGATGTCCAGGTGCCTAGTTCCCTGTGGTGTCCTGGCCTCAGCTAGGGGTTGAGATGAGGAAGAAGGCATGGAGTCTGATCCCTCAGGCTCCAGGGTTAGACCAGGGTAGGGGTATGGCCATAGCAGGAAGGAAGGACTGGGCCAACTGAGGAGCCCCCACCTATGAATGCACAGGTTCTAGGAAGGATGAAGTTGGGGTGGCTTAGCGCCTGTGCCCTGAGTTCTCTGCTTCTGAGTTATCAGGCTGAGGAGTGGCCTGCAGGCTTGGGTGCCCTGGGAGAGCTGCCCCCTGCCCATGTGGCACCAGGGGCTTAGCTTATTTCACTGCTGCCTCCTCCAACAGCAGCCGCCCAGGAGGCAGGATTATCTCCACTGAGAACCCTGTTTATTGTTCTGTTCTAATTAGAAAAATACCCACCATGTGTTGTGGGGAATTTGGAAAATGCAGACAAGTAGAAGAAAGTGTGTCTCCACCTGCTCCTCGCTGAGTGGACTTCATGGGCTGTGAGGAAGGGTCTTCCAGGGGAAGGCTGTTGCAAGATCTCCTGGACCCAGTCTCCACACAGATACCTGTCCAGGTGTGCGCACACACACGTATCCCACATGTCATAGACACACACACACACACACACACACACACACACACACACCCATGTGCACCTAGAGGGCCTGACTCTGCATTCAGAGCCACCAGAACCCTAGTGTTGGGTGTGATGAATGATTGGATCTCGGTGAGAATAGCCACTCTGAGAAGCCAAAACAATATGATGTCAATTGGGCACGTGCTTTTTTTTTTTTTTAATTTCAAGGGAAAACTAGCCAGCCTGTGGGAAAGTTGCAAGAGTGGGATGTGAGTGCAGAAATTTGCACTATGATGTGCAGAGATGTGAGCAGGGCAGCACCTGGCTCGAGAGCCACTTGCTCACAGCTGGGACACCCTAGATGCAATCTCTTGAGCCTCTGAAGACTGCAGAGTTCTTGGTGTCCCCAGAGTCTGGGGCTCCTGAGTCAGAGTGAGAATTAGAGCACCAGGATGGTTTCTGGGAAGGCAGGAATGATTGGAAGTCCCAGTGGCCACTCCACCTCCCACAGCAGAGCTGTGCCCTCCAGGGTCCTCATGGTGAATTCTTGCAATTCCAGCTCTGTCCCTTTCTTCTGAGGCAACTGTGGACTTGAACCTCTAGCCTCTTGCTTAGCAGCTGAGTCCCTTAATCATTTGCATCATAAGGGATGGAAGAAGCATCATTTACAGGCTCCCTTATTAGCCCTGCTGCACCTGCTAACCCTCTCTGCTCTGGGCCTCTTTGTGGGAGATGTAGGTGGTTTTCCGCAGAGGTCCAGGCTAGATCCCTCACAGGCTGGTGGGTGGAACTTAACTTGTGGAGGGGAAGGGACCCCACTCACTGTCCCACCCTACCTGCAGTGGAGCTCAAGATTGAAGTGGTGCTTCCAGAGAAGGAACGGAGCAAAGAGGAGCTGGCGGCCAGCACCAAGGGCAGTCCCCGGGCTTACCAGGGCAACAGCACAGCCCGCCACTTCCATGCTGAGGAGCGACTGCCCAGCCCACATCCCTACCCTGGCGCCCAGGATTACGTGGAGGCAGCTGTCTGTCACATCAAGGACCTCGAGAATGGCCAGTGGGTGTTGAGCCCTGGGCAGGGGTGTACTGGAGGGCGCAGGCTGGGGAGGGCTGAGTCCAGCTGGCGGGCAGGACCTGGGGGCTGCCAGCTGCTGCCTGATGCACAGTCTGACCACCTCAGTACAACCCTACCAGGATTCGAGAGGTGGAGCTGGGCTGGGGGAAGGTGCTACTGGTGAAGGACAATGGCGAATTCCACGCCCTGGGCCACAAGTGTCCACATTACGGGGCACCCCTGGTGAAAGGTGAGAAGCTGGCTGCACAGGCCACCCCCCCATGGATATTCTGCCTCTAACTTGGTCACACCTCACTGCCACCCCACCCAGTCAGCTGTGCCCAGGGCTCTCATCAATTGCGGGGGAACTTGTGAGCTATAGGGAGGGACACTGAATGTTGGAACAGAGGCTCCTTGCCCTGTCCTGTCCCACCTGTCCCAGGTGTGCTGTCCCGCGGCCGGGTGCGCTGCCCTTGGCATGGAGCCTGCTTCAACATCAGCACCGGGGACCTGGAGGACTTCCCAGGCCTGGACAGTCTGCACAAGTTCCAGGTGCGGCTAGGATGTGGCTCAGGGGTTCAAGGTTGAGGGCCTGAGTCCTCTGGGGTCTGGTTCTGAACAGTGCGGCCCTTACAGGTGAAGATTGAGAAGGAGAAGGTGTATGTGCGGGCCAGCAAGCAGGTGAGGTGCTGCCTTGGGGGCTCAGATGGAAGAAGGGGTGTTCTGGCCCTGGAATGGCATGTGCAGAGGCCTGTGGCAGGGGTAGTTGAGTGCACAAAGCAGGAGAGAGTTAAAGGCTGTGTAGTGGGGATTGAGGCTGACCCCTGCATGGATGGCAGTTGCCTAGCACCCAGGCGCTGCTCTTCCCGGCCATTGCCAGGCCCTGCAGCTGCAGCGAAGGACCAAGGTGATGGCCAAGTGTATCTCGCCAAGTGCTGGCCACAGCGGCAGCACCAATGTGCTCATTGTGGGCGCAGGTTGGTAGTGGGGGCAGGAGGCAGGGCAGGGGCGGGGCAGTGGAAAGGGAGGGAGGGGCGGGTGGCGAGAGGTGTCTGCCGGCCTCCGGCCCCTCCCCTCAGGCGCAGCTGGCCTGGTGTGCGCTGAGACCCTGCGGCAGGAGGGCTTCTCCGACCGAATCATCCTGTGCACGCTGGACCGGCATCTTCCCTATGACCGGCCCAAGCTCAGCAAGGTGTGGGGAGGGGCAGCTGTGGGCAGATTAGGAGTGAGCTCCCCTCTTCCCCCAGCCCCAATCAAGTCCACTGGGAGTTGGGCCAGCCGTCTTTTCCATCACTCCACTCAATCTTGATGCTCAAAAAAAAAAACCAAACAAACCAGAGCTGTGTCCAGTCCCATCAGCTGTCTCTCTGTGTGACTTCAGGGCCCAGCTTCAGGCTCCCCACACTCTTGAGTTCTCTTTCTCTTTGTGATGCCCGTCCAAGCTTCAGGCTCCTCAGCCCCCAAGTTTTATGTAATCCCTGGCCCAGCTCCAAGCCCCTCTGGGCCCCACGTCCTCTCTGTGTGACCCCTGGTCTAGCTCCAGGCCCTCCTGGGGTCCATGCCTCTCTGTGTGGCCCCTGGCAAGCTCCAGACCCCCCGAGCCCCATGTCCTCTCTGTGTGGCCCCTGGCAAGCTCCAGACCCCCTGAGCCCCATGTCCTCTGTGACCCCTGGCTCAGCTCCAGGCCCCCTTGAGCACTATGTCCTCTCTGTGTGGCCCCTGGCTCAGCTCCAGACCCCCTGAGCCCCATGTCCTCTCTGTGTGACCCCTGGCTCAGCTCCAGATCCCCTGAGCCCCATGTCCTCTCTGTGTGACCCCTGGCTCAGCTCCAGGCCCCCTTGAGCCCCATGTCCTGTGTGGTCCCTGGCTCAGCTCCAGGCCCCCTTGAGCCCCATGTCCTCTCTGTGTGACCTCTGGCCCAGCTCTAGGCTCCCTTGGGCCCCATGTCCTCCCTGTGTGACCCCAGGGCCTAGCTCCAGGTCCCCTTGGTCCCCACGTGTTTTCTGTGTCACCAACCCCTAGGCCAGATCCAAGGCCCCCTGGTGCTGTGTCCTCTCTGTGTGACCCCTGGCCCAGTTCCAGGCCCCCCTAGGCCCCATGTCCTTTTTGTATAACTCCCGGCCCAGCTCCAAGCCCCCTTGGGCCCCATGTCCCTTCTAAGTGACCAACCCCGGGTTCAGCTCCAAGCCCCTTGGTGCTGTGTCCTCTCTGTGTGACCCCAGGGCCCAGCTCCAGGCACTCCAGGCTCCCTGTACTCTGCTGTAAAACAGAGTAGAGGCATCTGGCTCCATCTTGAGCCTATTGTCTCCTGCAGTCCCTGGATGCACAGCCGGAGCAGCTGGCTCTGAGGCCAAAGGAATTCTTCCGCACCTATGGCATCGAGGTGCTCACCGAGGCCCAGGTGTGTGGCTGAGCAGGGGAAACTGAGGTCCAAGGAAGGCTGTGGGCTGCATGGAGCCTTCTGGACCTCCTGCTAAGGTGGCCTGTGGGGGGGTGTGGGTGTGGTGTGGTGTGGAATTAGGCCTTTTCTCTGGTTGGTCACATGCAGAGCCCTGGCATATAGGGAGACAGCAGCCCCAGGGCTGAGATGTAGAACGAGGAGGAGCCTGAGATCACAAGGAAATGAAATGAGCATAAAGAATGAGGAGCTGACAGGCAGAGGGAGCAAAGACCGCCTTGGATGTAGGAGCAAAATCCCATGTGGGCTTGGCTGGAGGTTTTGGGCTCAGGGAGTCCCATCAGATGGGGTGGGCAGCAAAACCAGTGTCTGCCCAGGCCCAAGCTTGCCTATGACGGTGACCCCCAGGTGGTTACTGTTGATGTGAAGAATAAGAAAGTAGTTTTCAAGGATGGCTTCAAACTGGAATACAGCAAGCTGCTGCTGGCACCGGGGAGCAGGTAGGATACCAGGCAGAGGGGCCAATTAGGGCCATGAGGGCTCTGGCTGGGGGGACACTCCTCAACATCCCCACCGTTTCAGCCCAAAGACCCTGAGCTGCAGGGGCAAGGAGGTGGAGAATGTGTTCACCATCCGGACCCCCGAGGATGCCAACCGCGTGGTGAGGCTGGCATGGGGCCGCAATGCTGTCATCGTGGGAGCTGGATTCCTGGGTGAGCAGCCGGCGGCAGGGGGTGGCCAGGATGCCAGGGGAGGTGTCAGGGGTCATTTTCTGGTCCTGCCCCCCCCCCCCCCCAGGAATGGAGGTGGCTGCCTACCTGACTGAGAAGGCCCATTCAGTGTCTGTGGTAGAGCTGGAGGAGACCCCTTTCCGGCGGTTCCTGGGAGAGCGTGTTGGTCGGGCCCTCATGAAGGTATGTATGCCCACCACACACTGTCCAGCCCTGTAGGGCTCCTGGGTCTCAGGGAGCTCCAGCTGGTCTCCAGCAGGCCCTTCACGCACAGCCCACCTGCCCAAACAGATGTTTGAGAACAACCGGGTGAAGTTCTACATGCAGACGGAAGTATCTGAACTTCGGGCCCAGGAGGGCAAGGTGGGCGCTCCCCCCAGGCCTTTGGCCCTCTGTTCCTCTGGCTCTGGAGCTAGGCCCACCTGCTTACCCCCTCCCCACAGCTGAAGGAGGTCGTGCTGAAGAGCAGCAAGGTGGTACGGGCAGATGTCTGCGTGGTGGGCATCGGTGAGTGAGCAGGCAGCAGGACTGTCAGCATACCCTCACTGGGCCAGGCCCTGGTGACCATAGGCTTCCCCCTCCCAGAGTTTCCATTTCCCAATCTGTAAAATGTGGATTCTTGATTGTGCCCACTTGACACTTGGGCCTGGCCTGGGCAGTGCCCACTGTGGCCTCATGCCCTGACTTATGCAGACCTCTGATAGCAGAGTGTTCTCTAACTAGACCCTGCTTGAGCTCTGGACTGGGCTGGGAGGTGTCAGCTCTGGGGCTGGGGCCCAACCTCTCTAGGGGACTCTGTGGGACTGGAGCATGGACATGTGTTTCTGCCCAGGTGCGACACCGGCCACTGGCTTCCTGAGGCAGAGTGGCATCTCTCTGGACTCCCGAGGCTTCATCCCAGTCAATAAGGTGGGGGCTGGGCTCTGCTGGTGGAGTGGAGAGGGCCAGGTCTGAGCTCCCTCACCACATTATTGCCTGGCCTTTCCTCTCAGATGATGCAGACCAGTGTTCCAGGTGTGTTTGCAGCTGGAGATGCTGTCACGTTCCCCCTCATCTGGAGGAACAACAGGAAAGTGAACATCCCACACTGGCAGATGGCACATGCCCAGGGTATGACAGGGGCTTGGCTGCCCCTAGACCTCCTCTGCAAGTGGCTGGCCTCAGTCCCTGGCTATATTCTTGGGCCCTCCATGCCTCTGCTACAGCTGTCTAGCAGCTTTATCAGGGTGTTTGTGCCAGCCCCACGGCCCATCCCCCCAAAAATAGAAGATGAGGCCGATGGAAGGCCCAGCTGTGACAGATGACACAGGGGCCTCGCCTTCTATCTTATGTCCTCAAGGACACTTGACTGGCAGGATTTCTCTGAGTGGCCTAAACAGTTCCACCAAAACTGTCTGACCAGTGTCTTTCAGGGCCTCAGTCCCCCTTGGGCGATGATTCTGTGAGCTCAGTTGCCTTGGCCCTTGGGAAGGGCCCATCTGGACCTGGGGACCTTGGCTCAGTAGGGACAGGTGTCAATTTCTGTGGAATAGCATCCTCCTATCAGAGGCCACCATGCCTCTGAGTCTCCTAGTACAAAAACGGTGACAGAAACATCACACATGGTGGGACAGGGCTTTAAAGGACAGAAAAGAGTTTTCAGTTTACTGAAAAAGACCCAATTCTCTGCCATCGAGTGGAAACCAACTCAGCTGACCTTTTAGGGAGTTTTCGGGGGGCTGACAAGGGGCTGTGGTGTGTGCAGGAGGATTGCTGAGGGTAGATTCGAACCACTAGACAGGCGCTGTCTTTGGTTTAGCAGCACAACCCCATACGGGCTACACCTCTAGCGCTCCTTTCCTCACAGTTTGCTATGGTTGTGTACCATGGAGTCAGAACCAACCCATAGCTGACCCTCCAGTGGGTTTTCAGAGGCAGTGAACCACACAGGAGGAGAGCCCATCCTTTCCTGGAACCGCAAACCACATACCTTGCAGTACAGCTTGCAGTGCTGCCTCTTACCACTACACCAGCAGAGCTTCCCTCCTCAGAAATCTGAATTCAGGGTGCTGATTTAGGAGGAGCTCCCTCCTCTCAGCTTTTCCGCCTGGCACTCCTTTGTTCCTTGGCACACTGTGTGACATCTGTTTTTCCCTGTCTTTGCTCGATTCTGTGTGTAACCTGCTCTTATCCCAAAGGCACGCAGTTTGAATCTACCAGCTGCTCCATGGGAGGATGGGTAACCACCTCCGGTGTGATTTATTGCTTCCAGGAACTCACTGGAGGGTCAGCTATGAATCTGTTCCCACTCAATGGCACATGACAACAAAATGGCAGAAACTCAACTCATTACCATTGGGCTGAAACCACTCATAGCTCACTCTCCAGTAGGTTTTCAGAGGCTGTAAACTGTGTAGGAGAAGACTGCCCATCTTTCTCTCACAGAGCAGCTGATCAATTTGAACCACTAGAGTTACCTCCTTTGTGTGAACAGTGAAGCTCCCTAGGGACTACACCAGTCACCAGCACTCCCTAGCATGGCAAAGGAAAGCCTATTTTCAAATGTGTCATTGTTACCATCAAGTCGGAACTGGCCCATAACTGACCCTCTAGCATGTTTTCAGAAGCAGGAAATTGCACAGGAGGAGATTGTCCATCTTTCTCTTGCAGAGCAGTGCTGAACTGCATACCTTTAGCTTCAGCAGTGTAGTTCCTTACCACTAATCCACCAGAGAGCCACATACAGTAACTTTGAAGCACATATTTTAGGGAGACACAGTTCAATCCATATACCCACCAAGCCTTACCTACTCTATGTGCATAGTGTAGACCCTGAAAATCTGGGTGCCAGAAGGTTAGCTACCTCACTATCTGACTCCCAGTCTAGGACATTAACTCTTCCTGCACCTCGTTTCTCTTCCCTCTGTCTTCACTTTATCTGAGGGTCTGCTGCATGAAAACTATCAAGTTCAAAGTCCAAAGGCGCTGCGAGGTCAGGAGGAGTTATATGTTTCACTGAGATGACCCAGAGGATGTCCACAGAAACTCGCAGCTGGGATTCTTGGGCACCAGGCCTCATGTGGTCACTTCTGCTTACCTGGTGCTTTGCCCTCACTTCAGGTCTGTCCAAGGCCTCAGGAAACAGACCTTCTGGGCCCAGGGAACCTCATTTCAAATTCCCCAGAGGAGGAATCTAGTTGGTTAGCTTTGCCACAGGTTGCCCTTCCCTGTCACTAATGCTGCAGGGCAGCAGGGCCGCAAGGACAGGGGAAGAGTATGCCTGGCAGCAGGCTGCATGGAGTGGTTTTGGCCCTCACTCCCTGGTCCTGCAGGACGGGTGGCTGCCCAGAACATGCTGGCACAGGAGGCAGAGATCAGCACAGTGCCCTACCTCTGGACTGCCATGTTTGGCAAGAGCCTGCGCTATGCAGGTAACGGGGTCTGTGGGTGGGAGGGTGGGAGGAAAGGCTAGGCTCGAGTTCAGGGTTCCAGTTAAGCAAATAGAGGTAAGGCCTTGACCATACTAGAAATGAGCACCTAGGAGCTCGCTGAGGGGTGGGAACAAGAATCAAAGAAACAAAGTGGGAAGCAGGGTTGTGAGGGGTCCTGGGAAAGTCAGAACCCCACAGATGGGCCCTAGCCCTTCTGGGGGCTCATACAGGGCTGCCCACCTGCCTGGCCCACAGGTTATGGAGAAGGATTCGATGATGTCATCATTCAGGGGGACCTGGAGGAGCTCAAGTTTGTGGCTTTTTACACCAAGTGAGAGCAACTGGATAGAGGGGGGCAGTGGGAGCTTGGTCAAGGGCAGAGGGAGGTACAGGATTACTGTGAAACAAATGTAGTACAGGTGCGAGGAGCTCCACCTGTCACCTCAGGACAACACTCAAGGTTGAACAGGTAGAGGGGTGATCTGGGACAGGCTCATCCCTGAACTGAAGGTGAGAAGCTGGGAGAGCTGGGTACTTGGGACACCACTGCTGTCCACCCAGGGAAGTGGACAGCCATACCCTGTCCCAGGTGGATAGAACACGGGGTCTGGGTATTTTGAGGTGGGGTCTGCTGAGAAGCCAACTTCAGGTGCAGCAACCCCCTCCTAACAGAGGTGATGAGGTGATTGCTGTGGCCAGCATGAACTACGACCCTATCGTGTCCAAGGTGGCTGAGGTGCTGGCCTCGGGCCGAACCATCCGGAAGCGGGAAGTGGAGTGAGTAGGGAAGAGGTCTGGGGGTGGGGATGAAAGGAGAGGGGCCTGAAGCCCCATCATTCCCAGGGTTGTCTGCATTATGACCTGTAATTTGGGATGCGAGCGGGAAAGGGGGCTGGGGGGACAGTTACTGCCTCTAGCAAGGGTGAGACTCTAGAGACAAGACAGGGAGCTGGGATCCCAGGGTGGAAGAGGGGGAGCGACAGCTGGTCACGGTGGAGGAGCCCTGAATCCTCTGCCTGGCTTTTTTCTCTGTCTCCCCATCCTGCCCTCGTGAAGGCTGTTTGTGCTGCACAGCAAGTACGTGTTTTGACCATTCTGTATTTTCTCACTGCAGTCCAGAGCCACCTCTGTGTATCCCTTTCTGCCCAAATATATACCCCTTGACACTAGGGCGTGGCATGAAGTGGGCTTCATGCTGCCCTCACAAGCTCACTGTTTGTCGCACTTGGAAAAGGGAACTTTGTCCTCTTCTCCCCTGATCTCTCCTCCCCTCATTCCTGCAGGACTGGCGACATGTCCTGGCTCACAGGGAAAGGATCCTGAGCTCACACATCTGAGGAGACCTGGGCAGACAGGCTGGGGCACAAGGGACAGAGGCCAAGTTCTCCAGGGAAGGTGCCAACCTCCGTGTTTTCAGATTATCCCAGGAGAGGATGAGCCCTGCCGGTGCTTGCCTTCAGCTGCCTTTTCCTCCCACTCGGCAGTGGAGAGGCCTCAGCTTCAAGAAGATGCCTTAGCTGCCACAGACGGCTAACACCAGAGACGGACTAGTCTCTGCTGCTTCTCCCTGTTCAGAACTGCTTCCCTGCAGAACCCTACAACATCTTAGACAGGAACTCAAAATTAAAAAGCACACATTTGCTGATCTCAATGAATTCCAGCATGATTGGGCAAACACAGAGGGAAAATATTCAGTGCTGCATGAAGGCTATTCAACCTGTGGGCATCTGGAGGGGCAGCAGATGATTTTGTGGCTGGGGCCCTCTCCAAGGAGTGCTTTGGATGTAAACTTTGAAGGGTAAAGGATTTGAGACAGTAAATACTTCTACAGAGGTGAGTGGGTGGCATTTAGGTGCATTTGCCCACTTTAGACTAAGGGCTAGGTTCTAGGACAGACCCTGTTCTTCCCTCTGCTCCCTGAGATACTTGAATCTCCAATTTACAGGCAAAGTACTGTGAGTTTGGCTATGAGGTAGAAAAGCAAGGCTGGGAATACACAGTCCCTGTCATGTCGCTTGTCAGGCAACAAGAATGCTCCGGATAGACCCACAGGGCCAAAACTGAGATGCAGGTAGGTAGGGTACGCCACCTACATGGAACCTCTCATCTGGGGGTCTGGAGAGTGGCGAACACTTATAGCAAGACACGCGCGCAGATATAGCATGCTGGAACTACCGGCCAGAGGAGGTTTCCGGTGCCGCATGCGCCTGGCCAGCACCAGGGGGTATGTGAGAGGGGTTTGGGACAAGAGGCCGCGTTCATTGGAGAGGGAAGCTGGAGGGCGGGCTTTAGGACAGACCGTCACCATTCATTGGCGGGGGAAGTAGGTGTCAGTGCGTCGAGGGAAATATTTTTCAGAAGACAGAGGCTTTCTAGGAGTGGCGCTTCGGAGCCGGGAGCATTTGTCTCGGTATATTTTGTCAGGATCCCCCTCGTGCTTTTTACAGTATCTGAAAACCTGCTGGAGGGTCGGTTATGATTCAGTTCCAACTCGAATGCGTTGAGTGAAGCAGATAGGCCAGGCATGAGCTTTCCAAATTGATCGGCCTGGTTTCAGAGATCTTTAAAAGCGATGTTGTTGCCGTCCAGTCGCTTGCGACTCAGCGAACCTATGTACTAGAGCCTAAACCCTACTCTATCCTGTGCCAACCTTATTGTCTCTGACACACCTACTTCCATTGCCCCAGTGACTGAATCGATCCATCTCATCGAGAGTCTTCTGCGCTGTCCCTCCACTCTCCCAAACATGACGTCCCTCTCCAAGGACAGTTCCCTCCTGTCAGACGAAACTTCAGAATTCTTGCCTCCAAGGCACCTTCCCCATGACGAACTTGTTCTAGCAGTCCATGGTAATATTCACCCTTCTCCAGCACCACAGCCCGAAAGGATCAATTCTCTATCATCCCTAAAATATGAGTGGGCAAAGAACTATTTTTTATTTCAGCATTTTGGAGAGAAAGGCGGGGTTCTTTTTAAAGGGAGTTGTTAGGTGCCCTAGAGTCTAGTATGACTCATAGATAGCCTGTGAACAGCAGTTCTCAACTCTGTCTTTGCCAGCCTAATCATCTCTGATATACTTGAGCCCATTCCTGCAGTCACTCTGAGGGTCGTCTTCTCTTGTCCATCCACCTTTCCAAGCATGATGACCTTCTAACACCACGCCCAAAGTATGTAAGAGGACACAGTGAGGAAGGGATGCCAATAGAGTAATACGGTCTTAGTGACAGAAACGAGGCTGGACACATTATGATTGAATTCTGAACAGTAAGTGATATATTCATAGAAATTTTTTTTATATTTTAATGAACATTAATATCTTGGCTTTCCATTAATTGATTTTTGCATATTTTCCTCCCTGCGGGTTCCCCCCCCCCCCAGTTCGCTTTTTTCTTGGGGAAAAAAGTTCTTTCATTGTTATACAGTCCCCCTCCCGGACCACTTTACTATGCAACTCATTCTGGAGCAAATACCGTTTTAAAGAAACTTAAATTGTAACTGCACATTGACTTCACCTGACTGATGGGCAGGAATCAGACTGACTTACATCTGTGGAAGAAATTGGAGAAGCTCAATATCAGCAGTTAGAAGTAGGGTAGGTGCTGATTATGGAACCTACCCTCAATTAATAATGTGCAAGTTCAATTTGAAGCTTAAGGAAATTAAAACAATCCCACAAGAAGCAAAATATGTCCTTGAGTCTATCCCACCTGAATTTAAAAAGCATCCCCAGGATAGGTTTGAGCATTGAACACTAATGATTAAAGATCAAATGGTTTACAGGATGATCTCAAAGCTATAATCCATAAAGAGCACTAAAGGTCATTTCAAAGAAAGAGGAGAGAAAAGATCAAAATGGATGTCAGAAGAGATTCTGAAAATAGCACTAGAGCATCAAGAAGCCAATTCAAAGAGGAGAAACAGAAATAAAAGAGATGAACAAAATATTTTAAAGGGTAGCTCAAGAAGGTAAAGTATTCCAATGTAATGTGCGAAGAATTGGAGCTGGAGAATAAAATGGGAAGAACTCACTCAGTATTTCTCAAGTTGAAAGAACTGAAAAAGAAATTAAAGCCACTAGTTGCAATCCTGAGAGTGAAAGGTCCAAACTCACTATGAAGTTCAGAAGCAATACTAGCTGAGTATATAGCAAATATGCTTTATTTAGAATGTCCACTTCAGTGAAAGTGAGCTGAGGCTTAGTTGGCATCAGCACTGAACTAAAAGAAGAGTAGGGTATTTATCTATTCTATATTGATAAGTTAGGGGTAGTCAAAGCAGTTTCAAGGTCCAGAGGCCATTTTCCATCTCAGAAAATTCTGTTTTATTTTCTGGGGTGGGTTATAAAACTATGTTTAAGGGTAAACATTAATCAGATTATTTACTATTTCCTGGAACACAGAGGGAATCCAGGTCAGAAAGTCACCAAAATGGAATCACTTTGGTTTCAACTTTATAGAGAGATGGGCAAAATCTTGAATGATCCAGGAAGCATTAAAAGAAAATAGAAGGAATTTGTAAAAAAATACAGCAACTCTGTGTTGTTGTTATGTGCCAATGAGTCGCCTGCGACTCACAGTGACCCCTGTGTACAACAGCTCTGAAGCCTGTTCTGTCCTGAGCCAGTCTCACTGACTCCAACATAGCTGCCCCCATTGCCCCAGTTACTGTATCAATCAATCTCATCAGGGGTCTTCCTCTCCTACACTGTCCCTCCAACCTTCCAAGCATAATGTCCTCCTCCAAAGACCAGTCCCTCCTGGCCACATGCCTAAAATACATGAGACAGAGCTTCAAATTTTTAGCCTCCAAGGAGAAACTGGTTCCATCCTCTCCAAGACAGACCTATTTGTTTTCCTGATGGTTTACCTATGTTCAAGCCTCTTCTCCAGCACAACTCAAAGGCATCAATTCTTCTGTCACCCTTCATCACTGTCCAGCCCTCTGATGCATTGAAAGTAATTGTGAAGACCATGGCCTGAATCAGGTGCACCTTAGTCTCGAGACTGACATTTTTGCTCTTTAGCACTCTGGAGAGGTCCCTGACAGCAGATTTTCCCAGTGCAATTCATCTTTTGATTTCCTGACTGCTGGTGTCAAGAGTGTTGTTTTTGGAGCCAAGCAAGCTGAAATTGTTAACCTCAATCTTTTGTCTATCATAATGCTGCCAATTGTAGTCACTGTATTTCAGTGTGTTCTCTGTATTTATGTGGCTGACACTGAAAAATTTCACGAAGTATCACATGAACAAAAGCCAATGGTAACAAATAAAGAAGTTCAAGCTGCACTGAGGCATTGGCAAAAAAAAAGAAAGAAAAAGGCCCTAGGATTTGATAGGCTACCAACTGACATGTTTCAGGTAACAGAGGCAGTCCTGGATGTGCTCACTAGTCTGTGCCAGGAAGTTTGGAGAACAGCTGCTCGGCTAACTGACTGGAAGAGATTCATATTAGTTCCTGTTCCCAAGAAAGGCAGTCCATCAGAATGGAAATTATCAAACAATATAATTAATAACGCATGCAAACAAAGTATTGCTGAAGATCATCCAAAAATTACTAGAACAGTACATAGAGAACTGCCAGAAGTTTAAGCTGAGTTTAGAAGAGGTTGTGGCACAAGGCATGTCATTGCTGATGTCAGATGGATACTGGCTGAAAGCAGAGAATAGAAGAATGATGTCCATTTGTGTTTCATTAATTATGTAAAGGCATTTGACTATGTAGATCATAACAAATTAAGGCTAATACTGAGAACAATGAGATTTCCAGAACATTGAATTATGCTCATATGAAACCTCTATCTATATCAAGAAGCTGTTGTCTGAACAGAGCAAGAGAACACTCTTCTTGTTTTTATGTTCTGTCAAGTTGCTTGCAACTCATAGCGACCCTATGTACAAGAGCCCTAAACCCTGCTCCATCCTGTGCCAATCTCACTGTCTCCCACACACCTACCCCAATTACCCCAATCACCGAATCAATCCACCTCATAGGTCTTCTCCTGCACTGTCCCTCCACCCTCCCAAGGATGACATCCTTCTCCAAGGACTGGTCCCTCCTTGCAACATGCTCAAAGTATGTCAGATGAAGCCCCAGAATCCTTGCCTCCAAGGAACAGCCTGGTTTAACTCTCTCCAGGATGAACCTGTTTGTTTTCTTATCAGTCCATGGTATATTCAATACTCTCCTCCAACACCACAGGAAAGGTGTGCATCAGGGTTATATCCTTCCTCCATACTTATTTAGTCTGTGTACTGAGCAAATCATTCAAGAAGCTGGACTCTATAAAGAGAAATGTGGCATCAGGATTGAAAGAAGACTCATCGGGGAGCTCTGGTGGCCTAGTGGCAAGGAGCTGCAACTACAATCCCAGAGGGGCACGGTTCGAATCCACCAGATGCTCTGCCAGGGAAGGAGGGACAATCTCCTCCTGTACCAGTCAGATCTGATTTGATGGTACACACACAAAAAAATAATAAAATAAAAAAAAAAGAAAGACTCATCAATAACCTGCATTATGCAGATAACACAACCTTGCTTGCGAAAAGCGAGGAGGACTCGAAACACTTGCTACAGAAAAATTTAAAAAAAATAAAATTCAAAGCCTACAGCCTTCAATATGGATTGCATCAACAAGACAAAAGTCCTCACCACTGGATCGTTAAGTAAAATAACGGTGGTTGTTGCTTGCGACTCATAGCGACCCTATGTACAACAGCCCTAAACTCCGCTCTGTCCTGTGCCAATCACACTGTCTCTGACACTCCCATCCCGATTATCCCAGTCACTAAATCAATCCACCTCATAGAGGGCCTTCCCCTCCTGCGCTGTCCCTCCACCCTCCCAAGCATGATGTCCTTCTCCAAGGACCGGTCTCTCCTCACAACATGTCCAAAGTATGTTAGACGGAGCCTTAGAATCCTTGCCTCCAAGGAGCCACCTGGTTTAACCCTTTCCAGGACAAATCTCTTTGTTTTCCTAGCAGTCCATGGTATTCTCAATACTCTTCTCCAGCACCACAGCTCAAAGGCATCAATTCTCCTTCTATCCTCCTTGGTCATTGTCCAACTCTCTGATGCATAACAAGTGATTGCGAAGACCATGGCCTTTTTTTAATGTAAAAAATAACGGTAGATTGGGAAAAGACTGAAACTGTCAATGAGTTAATCTTGCTTCGATCCACATTCAGCAGCCTTGGTACCAGCAGTTAGGAGATCAGGGACATACTGTGCTGGAAAAGTCTGCAGTCAGGGACCTTTCCAAATTACTGAACAGTGATGTCAGTCTGAGAACTAAGGTGCACCTACTTAAGGCCATGACCTTTCCAATCACTTGCTGTGCATCTAAGAGCTGGATAATGAATAGAAATGACAGAAGCTCTGGTAGCCTATGGTTAAGAAGTTGTGCTGCAATCTTAAAGGCACGCGGTTCAAATCCACCAGCTGCTCCGTGGGAGAAAGATGGGTAATCTCCTTCCACTGGATGATTAACTGCCTCTGATAACCTGCCAGGAGAGTCAGCTGGGTGTGGGTTCCAACTCAATGGTACACCTCCACAACTGTGATGGTAAGGAGCTGAGCTGCAATCCCAAAGAAATGCGGTTCAAATCCACCAGCTGCTCCTTGGGAGAATGGGCAATCTCCATTGGATTGATTGCTTCTGAAAACCCACTTGGACGGCCAGTTATAGGTCCGAACCGATTGGACAACACACAACAGGATAAAAAGATAAAGAGCTCCAATCTAATAACGTGGCCTCCCTCAATTGTTCTGTCACAGAGAAATACTAGTTTTCTTTTGCTTTCTTGCCTGTTGCGCTCAGAGACCTGGAGCTGACGAAAACGAGGTGCTAGCCGGAATTGTCAGGCGGTCGGCCTCGGGATAGCTGGGAAGTGTCGTCGCACGGAATTGCTTGTGTTGGTGACCGCACGTTCCTCCCGGAAATGTAATGGGGGGGAGGGGAAAATCTGCGCAGGAGTACAAGGGAAATGTAGTCTCAATTGGCGCACGGATCAACGGGAGATGTAGTCTCCGGGAGAGGCTTAGCGCGGTCTGCGCCAGGGTCTCCGGGAAATGTAGTCTTAGCTGTCGGCGCAGGGATGGCCGGGAAATGCAGTCCCGGGGAATGTTGGGGCGGTGGCCGCGCGTCCCGGGGACGTGCTGTGGCTCCGGGGGAGTGGCTGTGCCTCCGGGATGGCCGGGCCCGGCAGTTCCGGGGGCCCTATTGGGGCAGGGACCCTGGTGGGCAGCTCGAGGTCCAAGGTGGCCCCAAGCGTGGACTTTGATCACAGCTGCTCGGACAGCGTGGAGTACCTGACTCTCAACTTCGGGCCCTTCGAGACAGTGCATCGCTGGCGGCGCCTCCCGCCCTGTGATGAATTCGTGGGCGCACGGTGCGATGTAGTTTGGGGTCCGGCACAGGGCCCGGGGGCACAGCCGGGGCAGGAACGGTCCTGGTGGGCGGCGGCGGGGGGCGGACGTGGGCCGGGGCTTGGGAAGGAGCTCCAGGGATCTCAGTGTGGTGTAATTCAGGGATTAGGGCCCTAGCGAGTGGCTCTGGATGATGTCCTCGGTGCCCGCGGGAGGGACCTGGCTCACCGCCCCTGCCTCTCCTTCCTCTCCAGGCGCAGCAAGCACACCGTGGTGGCTTATAAAGATGCCATCTACGTGTTTGGAGGGGACAACGGGTGAGTGAGGCTGAACCCGGGGCGTGGGAGCAGACAAAAGCATGGGGGTGGGAGTGCAATGGCGCCTCTGGCAGTTTCACCTGTCTGCATGTGCTGGGAGGTTTACATGTAACTACTCCTTAGCAGTTTGTCAAACTACATGTATGTTTTCAGGTAGGATTCGATGTGCTGGCTAGTCGGTGATGCTGTTTGCGCCTCTCACACTCAGCAGCAAGTGCTGACAGTGGGATTTCTGCGCTCCCCGCCCCCCCCTCCCCCCCGCCCCAGCTCTACTCTGGACTTGCTCTGTGATAAAAGCCGGGCTGGTTACCTGGATCCGACAACATCTCTCCTCAAACCGTGTGGTGGGGAGCACCCAGAAATGTCCCTCTTGTGCTGAGTGAGTGGACACAGCTTTGAAAGGAAGCCAGCCACCAAGCCTGCCAGGCAGTTCTCAGCACCTCCCTCTGTCATGGTCTTGCCTCTGGCACTGGGCAGCTGAGAGGGCTTGGAGGCTGCGTCTTATTTTCCAGAAGGCTCCCTTTCCACGAGGATTTTTCCCACGTTCTAATAGACTCTGGCTGTGAGCCCACGCTCTCTGATGAGCACATCTCTATCCCACAGACTGTAAAGATTGTGGGGGCACTCTTTGGCAAAAGATAATAGCCAAAGTTAATACCTCCCTGATCAATGAGGTGTTTCATTTTATTTTTCTTACACCAAAGCACTTAACTGACAGTGGCATTTCCCAAAATATGTGTTTTGGTAAGAAAACACAGTAATAATTAACTGGTCTTTACAAACGAGATTCTCAGTAAATTCCAATATACTTAACACCATTCACTAAGACACATGCTCCCCAGGTCTCCAGGACAAAGTGTATAGAACATTTGTCAGGAACTAAAATCTAGAAAGCTCTGGTGGCCTAGTGGCAAGAATCTGAACTATAATCCCAGAGGAATGAGGTTTGAATCCACCAGATGCTCTGCTGGAGAAGGAGAGGCAGTCTCCTCCTATGCCAGTCAGATCTGATTTAACGGTACACACACACACACACACACACACACACACACACACACAGTAAAAAAAAGAACCAAAACCTGCCTCAGAAAGCAGCCTTCCTTACTCAGGACTGTGGTCTCAGAAGACCCGTGAAAGGACCAGTGGCAGGAAAGGGCTCCCCACTCTTGCCTTAACATGCCCCCGTTTTGCCCTCCTTCCTTAACCCAGCTAGTACAGATGCCATATGTAAGAGCTCCTTGGCAGAAAGGATGGCTCCTTTAAATCCTAGACCAACATGAATGAAAATACAGAGGACCAGCAGCGTTCATGGTGTGTCTTGTGGCCCTGTTGTGAGGAGAGAACTCCATCCTGTGCTGTTCTGAGATGCCTGTGGCTGAGTAATTTCCAGCTAACTAACCTCACAGGGCTGAGCAGAACTGCCCCAGGGGATTCCATGGCTAAGATAGCTATAGGAGCATGTTGCCATGTCTTTGTGCCAGCAAGTTTCCTTTTTTTTTCCATCCCCCAGGAGTTGGCCCTTCATAGAAGAGGAAAACTTTATTTTGGTGTGGGCTGTGGCGCATTGGGGATCCTGGGTCTTAAGAATGAGGGAAGTGGGTGGTGGGAGTGTCTGTCTTCCCGGAAAGGATATATTGCCTGAATGAGGAGACCTTCTAAGCCCAGCATCCTAGCTTGCCTAGCTGACCTTCTAAGCCCACTTGCCTAGCTGAGTGTCTCTACCCTGCACAAGGCACACGTGCACACAGACAGCTCAGTTCTTGCCGCATCCATGCCCACTCCTTTCTACACAGACACACACACGCACAGTGGAATCAGAAAGAAGCTTCTTCCTACAACGTTCACTGAAATGTCAACTCCATCCCCAATCAAGAGAGGTCTTGGTGCTGTCAAGCACAGGATGTGTGGGGACAGATGGGAGGAGACACAAAGTAAGAATGGTCACAAAGGAGAGTATGAAGGCCCTATTGTAATAGTGCTATGTAGCCTAGTGTGTCATTTGGCATAGGCCACACATTCCGGTGATATCTTCTTGCACCTCACAATGTTGCTGTTCTCTCATGATTATTTCTATCTCATGTTTAGAAGAATTTAAGTCCAAATCCCATGTATCAGTTTCAGGGAGGGGTTTTTGTCTTAGGCAGTACTGGGGAAATGTTCTTGCCCCTGAGCTTCTGCTCCAGGCCTCTGCTGTCAGGGACCTCTCCGGAGTACTGAGAAGCAACAGTGTCAGTCTAGAGACTAAGGTGCGCCTGATCCAGGCCATGATCTTCACAATTACTTGCTAGGCATCAGAGAGCTGGACAATGACTAAGAATGACAGACGAAGAATTGATGCCTTTTAGTTGTGGTGCTGGAGAAGAGTGTTGAATATACTCTGTGCTCCCAAGAAAACAAATAGTTCTGTCTTTGAGAGGGTAAAACAAGTTTCTCCTTGGAGGATTTTGAAGCTCTGTCTCACATACTTTGGGCATGTGGCCAGGAGGAACTGGTCCTTGGAAAAGGACATCATGCTCAGAAGGGTGGAGGGACAGCACAGGAGAGGAAGACCCCCGATGGATTGATAAAGTAACTGGGCAAAGAGGGGTAGGCGTGTTGGCATCAGTGAGACTCAGGACAGGGCAGCTTCAGAGCTTTTATAAAATAAGGTCACAGGCGACTCGACAGCACGTAACAACCACCACCTAGTGTGTGGGTGACAACTATAGCAACAAGTGGCAGTATATTTGCTCTCACAGGACACTTCATTCACAGTGGAAGGTGCAAACTCTGTGTCTGGGCTGCAAGCCCTCACACAGGCATGTCCAGGCCCAGTACCCTCATCCAGAAGATGCAAGGAGAGAGCTGGGTCCAGGCAGGCTAGGAAAGCCCTGAGGAGCAGTGTGGGACAATCCTTGCCTTTCATGTCGGAGGCATGGGTTCAGTTCCCAGCCTGGGCTCTTCTTGCACTAGGGCCACCTACCTACCTGTCTATCACAAGGGGGTGCAGGTGGCTCTGATGCTGACTAGGTTTCAGTGGAACCTTCAGATGAAGGGAGAAAATCAGTCAGTGACAACCCTGTGGGTTCCTGCAGCTTGACCCTTCATCCCTCCAGGCCCTGGGAGGTCAGTGGGTTTGTGCAGTATTTTTTTTTCCAAGAAACTTTTTAAAAAATTGGTTTGCTTATAGTCCTTCATATACATTGTGTTTTATAAAAATTATTTTTTTAAATAAAATAATTTTTATACATTCTGTTGTATATAATGTGTGCCTATTCTCATGGAGCTCTGGTGGCCTGGTGTGCTGCAATTCCAAAAGGCACACAGTTCAAATCCACCAGCTGCTCCACCGGTAAAAAATGGGCAGTCTCTTCCTGTGGATTTGCTGCTTCTGAAAACCTGCTGGAAGGTCAGCTGTGAGCCAGTTCCAACTGAGCAGAACACAACAACAACATGCCTGTTATCACCCCTTCTCCTCAAGTCCTCGTGGAGTCTTTCCTATTTCTCCATCCCTCTGTCTGCCCCTGGACCTCTGCTGTCCCTAGTGATTTTACTCCCCTCTCCTTTTTCTGCCCCTTCTTCTCCCTTTCCCTTTTGAACATTTATACATATTTTCACAGTTATGGTCTTGTCCAGTATTTATCCTTATGTGACAGAGTTATTTCACTCAGCATAATGCTCTGTGTTCTCACCGTTATATAGTATTTTACAAAACCATTGTTCCCTGGTAGTGCATAGTATTCCATTCTGTGAATTTACCAGTTTCTCTATCCATTTATTTGTTGACGGTTATTTGGGCTGTTTCCATTTTCTTGCTCTTGTGAATAACGCTGCTACAGATATAGATGCATACTATGATGCATTTCTGATAGCAGGTGGGCATTGTGTTTTTCTACACTGAAGAGGGCCAAGAGAATCTAAGGGAGAAATAGAGCCTCCCATGAGGTGCATGGGAGCACCCCACTCTGGTGGCACAGCCTCAGTGACTGTGTGAAAAATGCACCCTGAAGGCCCGGCTGAGTTCTGGCCAATCTGGTCTCCATATAGCAGCTAAATGGGGTGCTGAGCGAGCTGTTGTGTACTGTCGAGTCAGAACTGACCCTCCAGAGGGTTTTCAGAGGCTGTAAATTGCACTGAAGGAGAGTGCCCGCCTTTCTCCCACAGAGCAGCTGGTAGAATTGGGCTGTGTGCCTTTAGAACTGCAGCTCAGCTTCTTACCACTAAGCTACCAGAGCTCCCTGGGTGGGCTCTTAGCAGCTAGATAATGCTTTTGTCCCAACCCAGGTGGTTGCCCACTGCCCTGATTGCCCGCACCAGACAAGGCCCTTTCCTGAGGGGTCTACAACCTAGCCCTCCTCTCTGCAGCTTACATAGGAGGTTCCTCAGGGTCAGCACCTCTCTCTGGTTACTTTTAGGAAGACGATGCTCAATGACCTTCTGCGCTTCGACGTGAAGGACTGTTCCTGGTGCAGGTGAGCAGGCTCTGAGACCCCGAAGTGCCTTACAGAACAATAATCCTTTGCTTACTCCCACAGTTAGGATCACCTTTTCATGACGGGAAACCCAGGAAGCTGGAAGGGTTTGACAGGCTTCAGCTGCCATGGCCAGAACCACCCCTCGCCTTTTCCTGTAATTCCTAAGTTTATTAGACTGGTGCATGATAGATGGAGAAGAGATTGAAACTGTCAATGGCTTTATTTTACTTGGCTCCATAATCTAGCAGTTAAGAGATCAGGAAACTTATTGCACTGGAAAAGTCTGCAGTCAGGGACCTCTCCATTTTATTGAGGAGCGATGATGTCACTTTGAGGACTAAGGTGTGCCTGGCTCAGGCCATGCTCTTTTCAGTCACTTGCTATGTATCTGAGAGCTGGACAGTGAATAAGGATGACAGAAGAAGAATTGATGCCTTTGAGGTGTGGTGCTGGAAAAGAATACTGACTATCTCATGGACTGTCAAAAGAACAAACAGATGTCTTGGGAATAGTGAAGCCAAAGTGGTTCTTGTAGGCAAAGATGATGAAGCTGTGTCTCACTTTGGTGAGGAACATCATCCTAGGAAAGGTGGAAGGATAGCAAAAGAGAAGAAGGCCAGATGAATTGACACAGTGACTGCAGCAATGAGCTTGAGTGTGTCAGAGATTGTGAAGATGGCACAGGATCGGACAGGTTTCAGGTCTGTTGTTTATAGGGTTGCTATGAGTCATACTCAAAGGCACTTAACAGCAACAAATACTGGTACATAATCCTGAATCTTCTTCCTAAGAGGCTCTCTAGGGTGCTGCTGTAGGTTCCTAGATAATGCTCCAGAAGAGCCCTGTGTCACCAGGCCTGACCATGGGCCAGGACCTATGTAAGGAGCAGTGTTGGCAGCAGAGGATCCACTCCTGGCCCATGGGTCCACCCTCTGCCAGAGACCAGGCCCTTGGGTGGCCTCTTCTTGACAGATATCTTCTAGATGAGTGACTGGGCCAGACACTCGCCTTCTCCCGGCCCAGGTATTTGTACCACCTGCTCCAGTCCAGCCATTTCCTCAAGAGCAGTTCCCAGGAACTGGACAGAGATGGACTTGGGATAACACATGAAGAGGGCTCCAATCTCTGTCATTGTGCCACCAAGATCAGACCATGACCTGAATCAGACCCACCTTAGTCCTCAAACTGGCATCATGGCTCCTCAATAATTTGGAGCAGCCCCTGACTACAAACTCACCAAGTCTTCACAGTGCCACACTCTAGGCTGGAGCTTATACACAGCCTCCTGGCACCAGCAGTCCTCTGTCACAGGGGGCAGAGAAGGGTGGACATCAGGGCATCAAAGAGAAAGAGCCATCCCAGGACCAGTGGCCAGGCTTTTCAGAGACTTAGCTGCCCTAGGCACCTCCTTATTCTTTGTGCCAGCTTACCTACCCTTAACTTGTCAAACACAGGTTCGATTTTAAAACTTCCCTGAAGAACTTACCAATTTTAGCTAAGAATGTATTCATTATCAAAAGAAACTTTGGAAAGCAGCAGTGTTGGACAACACAGTACAGTCAGGTGTGTAAGTCAGTAATTGAAGTGGAAGGTGTACTGTGTTGTAGGGTCCTGGCAGAGGCCACTGATCCAGGTCTCAATGATTCCAGAGTGGCAGGAAGACTGAGTCTCAGCTACTGTGGAGTTGAAACAAGATATCTACACTATGAGCCTGTTCTAGAAGTGACTCGGGTGTGGCCTGCAGGGGCCTCCAGAAGTGACTGATTTCTGGTGAACACGTGTGTTTGGCGCACCGTGTTGTTACAGCTCATACATACGTAACAAAACATGGGAAGTGTCAGCAGCCTTCCCAGTGACATTCATTGAGTCTTGTGTCCTGCCTTCATCTTTGTTAGTTCTTCTTGCTGTGTGCCATTGAGTCTGAACCGACCCGGAGCTGATTTGCCAGCAGTTTTAATTGCACAGGAAGAGATTGTCCAACTTTTCCCTGTAGAGCAGCTGGTGGATTCAAACTATGTACTTTCACATTGGCAGCACACTTTCTTACCGTGCCTGATTTGATAAACTTTATCTCCTTTACTTTGGTCATGTTGTTAGAAGAGGCTATTCCTTGGAGAGAGATAGTGTGCTGGAGAGATGGAGGGTCAGCAAAAGAGAGGAAGCCCTTCAACTTGATGGATTAATAGAGTGACTGCTGCAAGGGGCTTGAGTGTGTCAGAGATTGTGAGACTGGCACAGGATAAGACATGGTTCAGCTCTGTTCATTAGGTCAGGTCACTGTGAGTTGTATTCAGCTCAGTGGCACCTAACAACAGCAACAGAGAAGGTGCAGCCAGAGTGCAAAGGAGAGGAAGACCCTCAAGCAGTTGGATTGACACAGTGACTGCAGCAGTGGGCTTGAGGGTGTCAGAGATAGGACAGGGTTCAAATCTGCTGTTCATAGGGCCACTGTGAGTTGTACTCAACAAAATGATACCCAACAACAATAAGAAGCCACCAGAGCACCCTTGTCAGTTCTTGGTCCTGCATTTTGTTGTTCTTAGTGATTGGTCTGTAATGACCAAGTGTTACCTTCAAAATTTTGGCATTATTTTGGGTGGTGGTGGTTGTTGTTTTGGTTTGGTTTTTAATTTAAAAAGAGGTAGCTTGTAAGAGTGCAGGGGCTGCTGTGTGCAGATGCCGTGCTGACTACCCCTCATGTCCCCCATGCTGCCCTAGGGCCTTCACGACTGGGACCCCACCGGCCCCCAGGTACCACCACTCAGCTGTCGTCTATGGGAGCAGTATGTTCGTATTTGGTGAGCTGCCCCCCGCCCCGCCCTCTCCTGGCCCCAACCCCACCCTCCTGCCCTGCTGTGGATCCAGGTTCCCTGTCTGGGGACCCCTGGCTGCCCATCCTGTGCCAGAGTCCTTTAGTCTTTTGAGCTGTGCAGAGTCACCCAGCATCCCATGAAGCCCTTTCCTTAGCTGTCCCCATCTTTCTGGGTTGCCTCTATCTGTGATAGGCAGGAGATGGCCTCCTCTCTACAGGACAGGGTATAATGCCCTGCTTATCTGTCCCTGCCGAGCCTTTCCCAGAGGCAGGCGGGTGGCAGGTGGAGGAGACCCAGAAAGCAGTCAGCAGGCTAGTCTACCTGTTTTCACACTTCCAGGGCCTATGGCTCCTAACGGCTCTTTGCTCTGTACCCAGGGGGCTACACTGGGGACATTTATTCTAATTCTAACTTGAAGAATAAAAATGACCTCTTTGAATACAAGTTTGCAACTGGCCAGTGGACTGAATGGAAGATTGAAGGACGGTGAGGGACATGACTGGGCCCTCTAGGGGTGTCTGAGGCCACTGCGCTGGGATCTGAGGCTGGGAAGATGTAGTGGCCCCCCGCTGTCCCCCGTAGCCTATCTGTCATGGGGAAGGGAACTAGGAATTGGTTCAGATAAGAAGACCAAACCAGCTACCCAGGAGTGTCCATGACCCTGGTGCCATTTCTACCAGCTCAGGCATCAAGCAGACATGGGGATCAACCACCCCAGCAGCCCAGGGTGGTAGCCACATACTGGGAGTGGGCTGGGAGGGTTGGGTGTGGCTCTGGCCTGGTCTTACTTCCTGCCCTCTCAACTGTCCAGGCTGCCGGTTGCTAGGTCTGCTCATGGTGCCACCGTGTATAGTGAAAAGCTCTGGATCTTTGCCGGCTACGATGGTAATGCCAGGTAGGAGGTGCCCACCCCATGCACCAGCCTTTTCTCGGCACCCTGTATGCCACTGAGTGTCCAGGAAGTCTTGGATGGGAAAAGTCAACCTGGTTGGCCTGAGGACTACCTCATCTCAAGAGTCTGTTGGGAGGATGGGCTTGTGGAAAGGGTCAGCCACAAGAGGACTGCTCCAAGTCCTCTGGTGAGGAAAGGTGTTAGGCCAGATGTCTGCATGTGCTAGTCCCTGAGTTTGCATGTCCCTAGAAAAAAGGGGCCAGATCAATCAAAGTCCCATTGAGGGGGCACTACTGGGCTTGAAACTTGGCCTTTGCTAGCCTTATACTAATGCCCCATCCCAGGAATTTTCCTCCTCATGAAGAAAAAACAGCTCTGCTGTTTCTCCTTCTGATTATAAAAAGAGGTACACGCTTGGTGAGACTGCAGAAACCCTGCTTGGTCTCCACAGGCAGGGCCTCCCTGTGGTCCTTGCCAGTACTGGGGACAGCTGCCTAGTCAGGCGAGGGCCCACATGGAACGCATGGAGGCAGGTGTGCTATCTCCGCATCCCTCTGCCAGAGGAGGCCTCCCTCTCCACCTTCGGTCCTGACCATGTGTCCTGATTGGCTTCTTGGGATGGATGCATCCCTGGGGCAGCTCCGGCAGGTCCACACCATCTGACAGCCAGGCCCTGTGTAATGCAGGTTGAACGACATGTGGACGATCGGCCTCCAGGACCGGGAGCTCACATGCTGGGAGGAGGTGAGGGACACGGAGGGCCTGGGGTAGGTGACCACTGCCTGTGCCTTGCCCATCCCCAGCCTTGTCCCCTCTCCCAGTTTTAGTGGCAGGTACACAGAGAGTTCCTCTCTCCCCAGTCTCAGTGTTGTGGGTGAGCAGCATGTCACAAAGGACAAATGCCAGTTTGGTCTAGGCCATAACTTTTTAGTGTCATTGGCACTGGAGCTTCAGGCCAGCTGTTAAACAGATACCCTGTCCTCTTCAGCTCTTTCTTTTCCCTATTATGATGATTTCAGCTCTAGTTGTTCCAGGCTTAGGTTTCTGGATGGCCAGACATGCTCAGCCACTAATTTAAAAGCTTGGGGGGAAAAAGAAAGAAAAAAAAGGTTTGGGAGTTCACGTTCACTCAGGAGCGCTTTGGAAGGAACTACTGATCTACTTCCTAAGAAATCAGTTGAAACACCGTGGGGCCTGGTTTCTGCTTGACACCTGGGTCACCATGAGCTGCAGTTTGACAGCAGCTGACTCAGCTTTTGGTTTGAGAGATGGAACCTCTTAACGCCATTCCTCCTGCTTTAAGCTCTTTTGCAAAAATGCATGGCAAACTTTAATTGATGGCAGTTTCAAAAGCAAAAATAGGCCAAGGTCAAGAGTCTGGGCCAGGTCCCTAAAGACCCCATTTGAGAGCCCTCCACCCGCAGGTGGCCCAAAGTGGCGAGATCCCGCCCTCCTGCTGCAACTTTCCGGTGGCCGTGTGCCGAGACAAGATGTTTGTGTTCTCGGGCCAGAGTGGAGCCAAGATCACCAACAACCTCTTCCAGTTTGAATTCAAAGACAAGATGTGAGTGGTGGTGTGGGCAGGGCGTCAGGCAGGTGACCTCCTTAGTCAGCCTCAAGGTCTGTATCCTCTATTCAGACATGGCAGGGCCACCTGCCCTCTCTGAGCAGGGTTTGAACCTATGCCTTGTACAGACAGGGCATGAGGCCCCGGGCCTTCTTGCTGTGGCTTGCTATTTTGACTGAGGGGGAAGGACTCACCTGTCCTAGAAAGGACTTGGGCAGGGCCCCGACCGACCCCATCTGTGGTCAGGGTCGATCTCTATGGGTTATGGGAGAGCAGAGGGGCACACAGCACTGTAACAACAGTGCTGGCAGTGTGAGCACGGCCGTGCCAACCTCCACCAAGTGAAGTGGTCCGCATTGACAACATCCACACCACAAAACCTGTTCATAGGCCACTGGAAATGCCACCATGCTCTTGCATCTTTTTCAGTTCCAACACAACTGTCCTCCCAGGGTTAGCACTGCTCTGCCCCTGGGATGCTAATCCATGGCAGAGGCTGCTCAGAATTCACAGGCTATGCCCACAGTGATGGGGTTTACCAGGGAAGCAAGCAGGTTACACAATTCAAACAGGAACTGGGATTCAGTTCTCTTTTTTTTAACTTCTCTGTATCTCAGTTTCCTGTTTTGTGATGTTGAGATGTTAGCAGGGCCCAGACAGTTTTCTATTGTGGGGCTGATGATGAATACATGCAAGGAGAACCTTAAAATATTTGATGGATATCATAAATGATCTGTAAATATTCCATTTTCTTCTAATATTTTTATTAGTTTGTGTATAGTGATTAATACATGTTGTTTCATTCGTGTACATTGTGTTTTATACAATCTTTCATTTACATTGTATTTGGTATAATTACCATTGATCTCTGTTTATTATTACTCCATATTTCCAAGTCCTCATTGGGTCTTTTATTTATTGCTCACCTTGCCCTCTGCCCACTAACCTCTGCTATACTAGTGGTTTCCACCTTTCCCCCTTTGAACATTTAAATACCTCTTGCTTGGTTATAGGATCCAATTCTTAAGTCAGAACAGCTTTTCAGGGGTGCTGGTAACCTGCCGACCTCCAGCCTTGTGACTTTGGGTCAGTGTTCAAGCTCTCTCAGTACTGCTGTCCATGGCGTCTCCCTTCACCCTCCAGTGAGCTTGGGTGAAGGCCTGGCTCTGGCTTTGTGGGATGGCAGGTCCAGTTCAGTTCTGGGTCATGTGGGTCTCTGCTTGTCCACCACCTCTGCTTCCACTGGTTTTAGTCTGTCTTGAGCAAAGCTCTCTGGCCTAGTCGAATGCACTGAGCTCTCTCTCTCTCTGCTTTTTCTTTCTCGATGACAGATTCCTGAACTTAGTTCATGCTCAACTTAAGCCTGGTGGGATGGCCAGACTGATCATTACCCTTGTTAGTAGTCTACACACTTTATCTGCTTGTTCCCATCCCAAAGCTGCCATTTATCTTGTTCACATCTGGTAGCCTAGGGGTAAGGAGTTGTGCTGCAATTGCAAAGCCACATGGTTTGAATCCACTAGCTGCTCTGTGTGAGAGAGATGGGCAATCACCTCCCATGTGATTTACTGCTTCTAAAAACCAGCATCTTAATCCTCCCTGCCCAGGGCAAGTGGACAGAGCATTCTGGGAAGGAGAGTCAGCTCTGGGTTGGTTCTGACTCAGTGGTACACACCAACACCACAACCACCCAGCCTTATAGTCAAAGCCAATGGCTAGGAAAGCCACTCTGAGCTGTCTGCTGCACCACGAGGCCTGGGGCCTTCAGGCTGTGATGTCTTTCGTCATTGCCCCCTCCCTGACCTTGTTTGAACTCTTAGAACCACCAGCTGACCTGGAGGCTAGGGCTTTTGTCAGATCTTCTGGGCCAAGGGCAGAGAATTTCCCTGTTTAGGAGGTTGTTTCACTGCTTAAGACACACAGTGAGGGTACAACTCTGTTCAGCTCTTCAACAGAACTCTGCTGTCTTGTTCCCTATTTGCCTTTAGGCCTTGCTCAGCGGTGGTACTGCCCGCAGGCCCGCTGCTATAGTTCTTGCCTCACTGCCATGTGTTTCTTTCTACAGTGTCTGGCCAAGTGAGCTTGGGAGCCTGCTTCCACCCTCTTGGGCAAACACTGCAGCTCAGCTTGGACTCTGGAAGTCCCTGTTCATTGACATCTAAGCTGGGCTGACACAGCTGAGCCCACCTGCTCTCTCATTTTGTGTCCCACTGCTCAGTGCAGCCCCTGCAGCCTCCAGCCTCCTTCCCAGAATGCACCGTCCACTTGCCCTGGGCAGGGATTAATTATCAAGGCCTGGCCAGAGTGAAGCTGGGTACTACCTTGGGCAAGCATGGGGTCAAGGTCTCCAGGGTGGCCAGAGGATAGCAAACTGGCCTGGTCAGGATTTGATGTGGGGAGCTGCAGCCACGTATGGGTAACAGCCTGGGAAGGGAATCCATGGAGGTCTGTGTTCAGCAGGAGGATTGGTGATGGCAGAGGTTGGAACACCCAGGTGTGGGGAGGGTGGACAAGAACAGCTGAGTTAGGCAGATTGTAGGGATGAATCTGATAAGGTTGGGGTGGGGGGAGTGTCCTCAGCTGGTTCTGGGAGAAGATAACACAGTTCGATTCCCAGGGTCCCACAGGTGAGGGCAAGGGACTCTAGGGTATGGCTTGAGGTGGCCAGGGCCACCCTGGAGCAGCCTGGGAAATGGGCGGGCAGTGTGAGTGGTGGTGTAGCCGGTGGGGAGGAGGAATCCTCTTAGGCGGGGCAGGCACTGGGAGGCCTGGTGGTCCCTAGCAGTCGGCTCTTCTGTGGATGGGTTTCATAGCCCACTTGGATGGATGACCAAGTAGGCATAAGGTGCTGGGGATGCTGGAGCCAGAGGGATAGCAGAGAGCATCATGTGGCGTGGGCAGCTCCTGAGGGGCCAGGCAGAAGAGGCATGCTGGCTCCCCTTTGTGCAGCTGTGTGGGACCTCCTCCCAGAGCAGGATGTCACTGAGCTGTAGTGGCATAGTGTGGGGGCTGTGGACACACTAACGTACTGCCCTGTGCCCACAGGTGGACGCGCATCCTTACTGAACACCTGCTCCGGGGCTCCCCACCACCCCCACAGCGGCGCTACGGGCACACCATGGTGGCCTTCGACCGCCACCTCTACGTGTTTGGGGGAGCAGCAGACAACACGCTGCCCAATGAACTGCACTGCTACGATGTGGACTTCCAGACCTGGGAAGTGGTTCAGCCCAGCTCTGACAGTGAGGTGTACATGGGAGCAAGGCTAACCCCCCCCTCACCAGGAGCCGCTGGCCTGTCCACCCTCTGCAGCTGAGGGGGCTTATCATGTTGTCAAGGGGATTTGTCACTTCCTGTGCCTGTCACAGCTCCCCTGTGCTCCTTTCCGGGGTCCTAGGATAGCCACCTTTCCATCCTTTACTTCTTCTGCAGCCTGGCACCAGTGGCCGAGGTTCGAGCCTGGCTGGCCTCTAGCCTGCATTCCCCAGGCTTAGGCTCTATATGCCCTCTTGCCAGGTCGGTGGGGCTGAAGTGCCAGAACGAGCATATACTTCTGATGAGGCACCTGTTCTGGCCCCTGAGGAGCGGGGTGGCTTCAAGAAGTCCCGGGATGTGTTTGGCCTGGACTTTGGCTCCACCACAGCCAAGCAGCCAGCCCAGCCAGCCTCAGAGGTGAGGGGGCAAGGCCAACTCCAACCTTCCGGGTAATTCCACTGTCAGCTCTCTTGTGGTGGGTGCTGAGCAGAGCCAGGGTGGACAGTCCAACCCTGAGCCAAGCCTCCTGTGCCAATTGCACCCCTGGGCCTCACAGCCTCAGTGGGCCTCATCTCCTGTGGGTGCTATCCTCGACTGCTTCTGTTAACCCTTTTGTCAGGGGGCTGTGCTCCCTGGCCAGCCCTGGCCCCCACCACTTCTAGAGGACATGCTGCGTGCCACCCACTGACTTTGCCCCACAGCTGCCCAGTGGACGGCTCTTCCATGCAGCCGCCGTGATCTCTGATGCCATGTACATCTTTGGGGGCACAATGGACAACAACATCCGCAGTGGGGAGATGTACAGGTTCCAGGTGTGTGTGGGGCATGCAGGGCAGGCCCAGAGCTGCAGGTTCTGGGGGTCAGCTTGGTGACCAGCACAGGCCCACTCTTGATATACCCCTGCAGTTCTCCTGTTACCCCAAGTGCACGCTGCATGAGGACTATGGGCGTCTGTGGGAAAGCCGACAGTTCTGTGACGTGGAGTTTGTGCTGGGTGAGGTGGGTGCCTTCCCTCAGACCCTACCTGGCATGCCGGGGAGGGAGGAGGCCCCGCCAGCTGGCCAGGCCTGCGTCCCAAGGTGGGGTGCTGTCCTCTCCCTGAATGCTGTCCCTGCCACAGAAGGAGGAGTGTGTGCAGGGCCACGTAGCCATCGTCACAGCGCGATGCCGCTGGCTGCGCAGGAAGATCGTGCAGGCATGTGAGCGACTGGCCCAGGTGAGGCTGGCTGGGTGTGGGGCACCTGCACAGATGGCCCTGATTCAGCCTGCAGCACCGCAGTTCTCCTCGCAGAAGCTGGAGGACGTGCCCCCTGCCCCCGGGGAGGCCAGCGGCGAGGCTGCAGGTGGTGCCCGGCCGTCCCTACTGCCTGTGGCCATCCGTGAGGCCGAGGCCCGACCCTTCGAGGTGCTCATGCAGTTCTTATACACTGACAAGATCCGGTACCCCAGGAAAGGTGTGCCGAAGCGGGTACAGAGGTTGTGAGCGGGCAAGTGGGCCTTGCCCACCCGCATGATGGGCACCCCCAAGGCTGGGGCGTGCCCGCCTTGCACTCAGGGCCTCTCCCATGGTGCAGGCCACGTGGAGGATGTGCTTCTCATCATGGACGTGTACAAGCTGGCGCTGAGCTTCCAGCTGTGCCGCCTGGAACACCTGTGCCGGCAGTACATTGAGGCCTCGGTGGACCTGCAGAACGTGCTGGTGGTGTGTGAGAGTGCCGCCAGGCTGCAGCTGGGCCAGCTTAAGGTACCCGGGCCTGGTGCAGATGGGCCCACTGCCCCCCCCCCCCCCGCCCATGCCAGCCCACCAGCCGGCCTCATCACTGTTCCCCGGCCTGTCCCTCCAGGAGCACTGCCTCAACTTCGTGGTGAAGGAGTCGCACTTCAACCAGGTGATCATGATGAAGGAGTTCGAGCGCCTCTCATCCCCACTCATAGTAGAGATTGTACGGCGCAAGCAGCAGCCGCCCCCAAGGGCACCTCCTGACCAGCCTGTGGACATTGGTAGGGAGCCTCCCCAACCTCCTCAGCCATTCTTCCCTCAGAGGTGCCGGCTGAGCATATCTGTCATGGGTAGGAGGCTGTAGAACCACAGATGCTGTCTGCCAAGCCCTCAGGACTGGGAGTGGGCAGCAGTGGGAACCCAGAGTGTCTTCCAGGCACACCTGCTACAGTGTGGCTGTGATGACCCACTGCCACAGGGATGGCCACGGTAGGCTGACCACAGTGGACTGTCTACAGAGTTGGCCGTGGTGGGCTATGCCAGTGGGTGTAGTGGCCGGAGCACGTTGGTAGTGAAGACGAGCCAGCCCTCTTGCAAACATGCCTGTCTTGGGTAGAGTGGTCAGGTCTGGACACTTCTGAGGTCAGTGACATGCCCAGGGAGACAGTGCACCAACCTTTGATCTGCTGTCCTCAGGGCCCACCTGCCCTGGGCCTATTAGAGGAGAACCACTCTTTGACTCAGCTGGACCTGTGCTGGAGTCCAGCTCCTGGGATGATTCTGAAGTCACATGCTACCTGCAGCCAGAGCTTTGGGGCCAAGGGACTTCACACGTGGGCAGGAGGGAATGAAAGCCATGTATGTTAGGGTCACACCCTCAGGAGTCCCAGGGTAGAGTGAGGTCCCTGGCCAAGCAGGTTCTGCCCAGGGCCCCTATCTGCCCCCAGGCACATCTCTGATCCAGGACATGAAGGCATATTTAGAGGGAGCCGGTGCCGAGTTCTGTGACATCACATTATTGCTGGATGGTCACCCACGGCCAGCCCACAAGGCCATCCTAGCCGCCCGCTCCAGGTGTGTGGTGTGTGGGAGAAGTCTGGGCTGGGCTCCTGATGAGGGAGTGTGGGAGGGGCCAGGGCTGGGCGCCAGGTGGGTGGGGTGTTGGAGGCAAGGCTGGCCTTTGGCCTTGGCTGAACTGAGTCCTTGCCCTGGACCCAGTTACTTCGAGGCCATGTTCCGCTCCTTCATGCCTGAGGATGGCCAGGTGAACATCTCCATTGGGGAGATGGTGCCCAGCAAGCAGGCTTTTGAGTCCATGCTGCGCTACATCTACTACGGCGAGGTCAACATGCCACCTGAAGACTCGCTGTATCCCCCTTCATGTGGGGCTCTGGCATCACTGGTGGGGTCTCTGGGGCCCACTGTTTGGCTGGACTGGTGGTCCTCCACTCTCCAGAGAATGCCTGGCACTGGACCCGGCACTCACTGAGGGACCCATGAAGTCAGAGAGTACTGCAGGGAGAGTCTGACAGGAAGGCTGGCTGGCTGGACCTTGTCCCGTCTCTAGGTGCCAGGAAAAGGCAAGTCCTGGCTGACCAGCTGGTAGTGTTTGTGGAGCTGGGGCTGTACCTTGCCTGCAGATGCAATGACGTTCTTCCACATGGAAGACTCTGGCTTTCTCTCCATCTTGAGTCCTACAGAGCCCTTAACTGGTTCTGAACAGTCTCCAGCAAGTTTATATCTGAACTGGGCCTTTAGCCCGACCCCTCCACCCCAAGGAGCCAAGGCCAGTCATCCTTGTGGGGGAGCTCTGCTGACTCTGGGCAGACAGCAGGGGGAGCTAGGACCCCTCTCCCAGTGTTCTGTGGGCATTGGGTTCAAGCTGGGCTGTTGGGGGAGGACGATAGGCGGTGTGGGGGGGAGGCAGTCTCTGCTGGCAGCTCCTTAACAAGCCCCAGCTACCTGTTTGCCGCCCCTTACTACTATGGCTTCTACAACAATCGGCTGCAGGCCTACTGCAAGCAGAACCTGGAGATGAACGTAACTGTGCAGAATGTGCTGCAGGTGACCAGCTGGCCAGCCTCCCTATACCTACAGGGCCTGGGTGGGGACAGGGATGCCCGCAGACACAGCCCACAGCAGGCATGCCTGGAAACCCCCTTGGGGTCCAGGTGGTGGCAGGGGTGTCTGGACACCCCCATGGGCCTGGAAGGTGGCAGAGGCACTGGTGGACACACCCCCAGAGCCTGCAGCAGGGATACCCATGGATACCCACATGGGCCCCGGGGTTAAGGGCGGCAGGGGCAGACACTCCGTCAGGGTCTAGGTGGCAGCAAGGATGCCCACAGAAAACCCCCAAGACCTGGGTAGTGCTGGGGGCACCAGTGGAGTATACTTGCTGTTCCAGATCCTGGAGGCAGCTGATAAGACACAGGCATTGGACATGAAGCGGCACTGCCTCCACATCATCGTGCATCAGTTCACCAAGGTCAGGTTCTGCTCTCATGGTGGTGGCCTTGGCCATGGCCACACTGCCCTCATTGGTTCCCCTCTCGGGCCTGGGTCTGCCCTGGACCAGCACATTGTCACCTCCACAGGTTTCCAAGCTACCCACACTGCGCTTGCTAAGCCAGCAGCTGCTCATCGACATCATAGACTCCTTGGCTTCTCATATCTCTGACAAGCAGTGTGCAGAGCTGGGCGCTGATATATGAGGCCCCACCTGCTGCAGACACTGCTGGTCACCAACAGCTACATGTCACCGACAGCAGCTGAGTTAGAACAGCTGGGCGGGGTGCCCAGAACCCAGGAGAGAACTGAAGGGTGTGGGGGGGCTGACACCTCATTCACAGGCCCTGATGCACATGCCTGACTGGACTCTCAGCCTGGATGAAGGGTCCCCCAGACGTGGCAGGAGGAAGCAAGGCCTGGGTGTTACGCAGCATGAGGAGGGATATGTCAGAAGTCTGAAGCGGGGGTGGGTGTCTAATCAGAAAGCTGGAGCCTTAAGGGTTTTGGGTGGCTTCCTACCCCCAAGTCTCAAGTGGAACCAGTGATGAGTTTTAGGTGACCTAGGCCTGACTGCAGAAGGGTGTGCCCCCGCTCTTGCATCTCTTCCAGCTTTCCCTTAACAGATAGCTACATTAAAGCTGGGTAGTACCCCTGCATGGCACCATGTTTCTGCCTCCTCCTTCCCAGAGCTGGGACCAGCCTGTCAGTGCCGTTCTCATCATGAGGGCGGACTGTGAACAGAACCCAGCCTGGGCTCAGGGCAGCCTTGCTCCTATGCCAGCACCTGGTTTCTGCGGAGGGTCTATTTAAGAAGCTGGAGTTAGGTGGTTGGATTCACTTTTCTACAGGGGCCCTGTGGGTGCACTCTTATCTGGGAACCAGAACCTTATCTTAGGCAGGCTGACCCCTGACAGGCTGATGTACTCTAATACCACAGCCAACATGAAAGGACCCACAACTGGGAGCTCACTGATCCTTGAGCCAAGGTTGGCAGCCAGCAGATCTGAGGAATGGGGATGGGAAGGTGGGCAGCAGTCGTAGGTCACACACTGAAGGAAAATGGAGTGGGAAGCAGGGGGCTCTCAATCACAGGAGTTCTTGCTGACCAGAGTGGATGACAGATGGGCCACCAGGAACCCTACAAAAACCTTACACCCAGGACAGCCTCCCCGCTCCCAGCACCTGCATGAACATGGTACTCACTAGTCTGAATATACAGTACCTCCCACCTTACATACCGGGCTGTTCGTTAAGAGGAAAGCCTGGATTCCCAGTGACAACAGAAGTGGTGAGGCCAGGACCACTACACAGTCCATACAACTGACATTTAAGAACAAGGCCATTGTAGAGTCCTCATTGTTTGGCCAGTACAGCCTGAGACTTGGACGGAGGGATACAGGTAGAGAGTAGGGGTTGGCCTGGAGTCTGGGACACAGTGGGATACCAGGCCCACACAGACACTGCTATGTCCAGTACCCATGGACGGTGAAAACCACTAGAGAATGGTGGTGTGTGGACTGGGCTTTGTACTTCCAGAGGGGCCAGCTTGCCAAAATCAAAGCAGTGTTAGAGCCCAAAGATAAAGTGCTTGGAGCTGCCCTTGCAATTAGAATACCTTGTCTCTTCAGACCCACATGGGATTTGGAGGGGACAGGACATACTTGAGCTAGGACTTGGTACACTCTCCTGATCCGCAGTGGGCTACAAGTGTGGGGACAAAAGGCATAGCTCTAGGAAGGCTTGAGGGCCTAGTATCAGTGTCAAGATATTGGGCTCCAGCATGAATCCGTCCCTAAGGGTGCAAAGGCTTTCTACCACCATGGACTGTAAGGTGCAGCCTACCACCCAAAGGGAAGGAAGTGGCAAGCTGGCTGGAGCCAGATAGCAGGTGTCCTGGTATCTGCTTTATTTTGAAATTTGGTTAAATCTGGTGGGCATGGCTCAGTTCAGGTCCCTCCTTCCTTTCTAGGCGGAAACGAAGGAATAGAGGCTGGTACTGCCCTCGGTTAGCTGGGCCCAGGTACCCATCGCTCAGGCCAGGCTGCCCAGCTGCATGGCAAAGTCCTGGACATGGGCCTTCAGAGTCTGCCTCGCGTCGGCCTGTGCCCGCTTCTCCCGCGCGCGCTCTTGCTGCAGCTTGGTGAGGCGCAGGCGCAGCCGCTGCTCCCGCCGCTTGCAGGCCTGCAGCTGGCGTTGGGCCTTGTCCAAGGCATTAAGGGCTGCCTCTGCCCGGCGCTTCCACAGCAGGGCGCTGCCCACCTGGTAGCTGTGCTCGTTCTGGATGTAGGCACCTGCGGGGGGTGGCAGGCGGAGCATGTAGGCGGAAGGGGACACGGGCCGAGGCTCCAGGGGAGAGTGCTGCTGATCAGCCTCCCGCTCAGAGGGCTGGGTGCTACAGCCTGCTTCATCTGCCTGGGCGCCCAGAGGCCCCAGAAGGTCAGAGAAGGGGCTGCTGAGGCCAGGCTCCAGCCTTCCAGCTGGCGAGGTACACAAAGCTGCAGGGGCTGAGGCCTCTTCCACTGGAAAGCACGGCACGTCCACGGGCAGTGGTGGGGAAAATGGACTTGGGTGTCCTTGCCCCTCAGAGCAGCTGTGGGGAGAAAGAATCTGCCAGGCGGGGCTCAGGTGCACAGCTCCTCCAGGGTGCGTACCCTAGAGGCCAGATGGTAAGTGAAAGCACACCCTCTGAAGTGCGCAGCACATACATACCGCTTCGGACATCGCGGGAGCCGATTTGCCGAGTAGCCACGGCCCTTGGGTTTAGATGCTGTTGGACGCAACTTGGAGAAAGATTCAAATATGGTGGGAACTGCCCCTTCCTTCAGCCGGTGATAACCGCTGTAGAAAAAGCAGCCCTGATGAACGAAGAGCAGGCCCTGACCCCCATGGTTGGACCCTGGATCAGAGTCCCCGAGAGCCCCCGCTATGCGGGGCAGGATCTGAGGATGAAGTTGCGCAGTGGACAGTCTCTCCCTCCTCCTGGTGCATGTGATGGGGTAGACTCCCCAGTGATGCCCCTCTGTGTCCCTGCGCTATGATCACGGTGGGAGCCACGCTAGTCCTTGGGACATCTGACCTAGGAGGCTGTCCTAGGGTCGCCCTCAGATCGCTGTTCCCACCCCCAATCCCGGGGGCCCCCGAGAAGGCCCACCTGATTCCCACCAGCTCGAAGCAGTTCTCCTCGAAGTGTTTGGAGCAGAAGTAGATGTATTCCGACGCCGGGTCCCACAGGCCCTGGCCGCTAGGGTCCAGACGCTGGCAGTTGGCCAACCACAAGCCTCGCCGGGGGCTGTCTTTCTTGGGGAGTCTGCGAAGCCACACAGTCCTGAGTGCCCGGCTGCCCGCTGCATGGGCTCATGCCGACCGAGGCCCGAGGCAGGATGCACAGGCGCAGCGCACAGCCCTGGGGAACACCGCCCGCCCGGGCACGGAGCAGTGGAGTCTAGAGGCCAGCAGCCGGTCCAGCGTCATCAAGCGGCGAGTTGGAGGGGAGCAGGCCTGCACTTCCCGCCCCTTCCTCATCCGGGTTCGGCTGGCACCAACCCCCACCCCGAGTTTGAGAATCGCCCCAGCAGAAGCAAGGCGCACGCGCAGCCGACGCGCGGGGCGGGTCTCCGCCATTTGCGCACACTAGGCTCTCCCGCGCCAGCGCGCACGCTGACCTGTGGAAGGAGATGCCGCGCTTGCGCGTCTCACGTGTGTCCCGTGTGCAGCAGCCAGCAGCCGAGCAGTGACGCGGCATCTGGGGGAGGGGCGGGAGCTCGGGCGACGGCTTCGGTCCGGGCCCGGAGGGAACTCGTCCCCCACCCGCCGCTCCGTATCCGAGGCCCCTGGATTGTCGGGGCTCTCCTAGCGCGACCTCACCACGGGCCAGCTTCGGTACCCCTGTCGGTACTCACGGTCTCGGCATGGCAATACCCTTGAAATCTCGCGAGAGCGGGAGCGCCGGAAGTCGGGGTTGAGACAGCGATGGGGTGCTCGTGGGGGTGGGGAGAGTTGCTCGCCTGGTTCTTTTTTCCGTTGCTTACGGGCTGCGTTCGTACACCAGCGCAGAAAACCGTAATCTTATTAGCGGTCAGGACGCCGGTCAGTCGCTGGCGCCAGGAACTTGCTTCTGGACACAGGCCGAGGTTAAGGGGGAGGTGCCCCTCGGTACCTGACTGCAAGGAGGGAACCTCTGCAGAATGGGGAGAAGTCGGGAAAACTGAGGTGCACCGTAGTGGTGGTGTAGTTGTGTGCCTTCGAGTCGGAGTCAACCCAGTCAGCCTCCAGTCGCTTTTCCAAGGGCTGTATCAGGTTTGGAGGAAGACTGATTAACCTGCGTTAACCTTGCTTGCCGAAACTGATGATGACTTGAAGCGCTTGCTTTAGCCTTCATTCTTGATTGAAGCTCAACATCAAGAAAATAAAGATTCTCACCACTGGGCTGATTGGCAGCATCATGATGAATGGCGAAGAGGCTGAGATTGCTAACAGGTTTAGTTTGCTAGGCTCCACGATCAATACTCTTGGTACCAGTAGACAGGAAATCAAAGGGTGAATTGCACTGGGAAAGTCGGCTGTTAGGGACCTCTCCAGAGTACTGAAGAGCAACAACCTCAGTCTGGAGAATAAGGTGCGCCTGATCCAGGCCATAGTCTTGCAATTACTTGCTTTGTGTCAGAAAGCTGGACGATGACTAGGGATGATAGAGGATTGATGGCTTTGAGCTGTGGTGCTGGACAAGAATATTGAATATACATACCATCGACTGCCTGGAGAACAAACAGGTTCGTCCTGGAGAGGTGAAACCAGGCTGCTTCTTGGAGGCAAGGATTCTGAAGTTTCGTCTGATATACTTTGGTCATGTTACAAGGAAGGGTCCATCATGCTTAGAAGGGCGGAGGAACAGAGAAAGAGAGGGAGATCATTGATGAGATGGATTGATTCAGTGACTCGCAGGGCAAGGAGGGCTACTCACCTGGTTAATTTGTCACGGCCGTAATCACACACCAACACAGGAAACCCTAATCTTACTAGCGGTCAGGACGCTGGTCAATCAATCCCTAGACTCACTAGAGAGTAGGTGTGTCAGAGACAGTAAAGTTGGCAAAGGATACAGGGCTATTGTACATGGGGTCACTATGAAAGCGACTTGAAGATAACAAATCACAAGGAGCAGCTGGCAGACTCAAACTCGGTACCTCTGCATTTGCAATGCAGCTTCATATTATTTGGTCATCAGAATCTGCTGCACCTGAGCGAGCCAGGCTTCCCTGATGAGCCTGTTGAAAAGCCACGCTGTGACCCTAAGTATTTTCCTCTGGACAAATTCCACTATCTTTATTTGCCAAACACCACCAAACATGCAGAGTTAACACCGCTGGTGGCCTAGTGGTAGGGAGTTGTGCTGTGAACCCAAAGACACACAGTTTGAATCTACCAGCTGCTCTGTGGGAGAAGGATGGCCAGTCTCCAATGATTTACAGCCTCTGAAACCCTGTTGGAGGGTCTGCTATGGGTGAGTTCCAACTCAGTTGCAAACAACAAGGGTTTAAGATGTTTATTTTAGACTATATCCCCCCAAATTTCCTTCAGCTGAGTTTTCTGAGGTCTTTTGAGGAATAATGTAGTAACCAAATTAATATGTGCATAGACATGCTTAATAATGTCTACTCTTTTTCAGAAAAAAATTATTTGCCCCTCTCAGAAACCACTCTATGAAACCTAGGCGGAGTGGAAATTTTGTCAAAAAGAAACACCATGGAGAAAGGAATTTTAATAGGTAAACCCTTCCTCAGCCTCTGCTTCCACAGAGTCCACGCTTCCCTCTTCATAATCCTCCTCCAATGCTGCCACATCCTCTCATGCCCTTCCTCCATGTCTTTGCCCATGTACCAGTGTACAAAGTCATGCCTGGCACACATGAGATAAAACTTGTGGTTCAGGCTTGCCCAGGATTGAGAAGCCAAATTTCATACTAAATATTTATTTTTTTCTTTAATTATATTTTATTAATTTTCATAAACATTTACAGAGATTTTGGGTTTCCATTCATACACCGAGGCACCATTCTCTCTACCCTCCTCCCAGTTTGTTCTTGTCCAAATGCCACAGTGCTTGTCAAAGCCAGTTCTGATTAATCTTCTTTGTCAGTGTGTCCTTTGCCATTCCCTATCACTCCTCCCTGAGAGAGACTTCACCCGAGTCATAAGGAAAAGGGGATGGCGTATTCTCTTAGCTACTTCCTGCTGAAAAGGGACGCTGTGGGTTTCAGGGTGAAGATCTTCTCTCACTACTCTAAAGGGCCCCTTTGGCAGTAGGAAACACATAGACTATTATGGAGATTGATTTTGGAATTTAGGTGCACTCTTACTGATTGTGCTTGGCCATACATGTTCATATCCTTGAAGATGTATCATGGGGGTGTTGCAACCTAGAAGACACAAATTTGACTAACAAGTTATAAGTACATGAGTCAAAAATTATGGAAAAGTAAAAGAAAAGATTCTTTCATTGTTCCACAGACCCCCCCGCCAGGTCCCCTCCACCATGCAGCCCTCGCTCTAGACTTCTGTGATGACAGAAACACCCAGTTATATATCTCTTTTAAACAGTTCCCTCCCTCCTCCGCCTCAGTGCAGCACACATCATTGAACCCATCTTACTCAGTCTCTCCCCAACCCCAAGGACAGTCCCATTCTACAACAGTGGCATCATGTAATATTTGTCCCTTTGTGACTGGGATATTTCACTCAGCATAATGTTCTCCAGAGTCAACCATTTTTAATAATATTGCATGAGTTCCTTGTTTTTTAATGCAGCATAGTATTCCATTGTGCGAATATACCACAGCTTCTCTAGCCATTCGTTTGTTGATGGGCACTTAGGTTGTTTCCAACTCCTTGCTATTGTGAACAAAACTGCAATAAACATGGGTGTACATATATCTGCTTGGATGTCAGCTATGGTCTCTTCAGGGTATATTCCCAGTAGTGGAATTGCTGGGTCAAATGGTATCTCTATTTGCAACTTTTTGAGAAAGCGCCATACTGCTTTCCACAGGGGTTGCACCATTTTACACTCCCACCAACAGTGAATCAGGGTTCCAGTTTCTCCACAACCTCGCCAGCATTTGTTGCTTGCTGTTCTGTTAAATTTTGCTATTTTGCCTGGGGTGAAATGATATCTCATAGTTGTTTTAATTTGCATCTCTCTTAGGGCTAGGAATTTTGAGCATCTCTTCATGTGCTTGTTAGCCATCTGAATGTCGTCTTCGGTGAAGTGCCTGTTCATATCCTGTGCCCATTTTACTATTGAATTATTTACCTTTATCTTGTTGTGGTGCTCAAGTATTTCATAAATTCTGGATATAAGTCCCTTATCTGATATGTTATTACCGAATACTTTTTCCCAGTCAGTGGCTTCCCTTTTTACCCTACTGGAGAAGTTTTTGGATGTGCATAGGGATTTGAGTCTTAGAAGATCCCATTCATCTATGTTATCTTCTCCTGGTTGTAGGCATACTAAATATTTGTAATAAACCAAATACTACTTCAAGTTACGAGGGAGGCAGATATAAGCTAGAATTCACCCTGGAGCACTAAGGCAATCCTTAAATGTTTACAGGTGTAGACATTAAGGCACTGCTTAAGCATTTGCAGGATTCTTGCATTGTATTTGCTAACCCCTCCCTACTGAGTCAAGCAGAAGGTTTTCAATAAAAAGAGCTTAGCTTCATTTGCATTGAATTTTCTTGGTGATTATTTCCCAGGCAGTTGTCATTAAAGACGCAGGGAAACTAATATCTATCGGTGCTTCAGTTCACTTCAATTGTTCCTGCTTCACCTCTGTTTTCTCCTACATTCTTGATGTTCTGTCTCATTATTACTTATTAATACACTTTACCCTTGGTCTGCAACACCCAGGACTTGATGGTAGCTGTAGTGTTGCTCAGCATGCACATGACCCATGCACCTTGGCTATGCCCCTCCCAGGGACTGGTAGTTAATGCTCACCTGTCAGACAAAGGAAAAGTCAAGATTTTAAGAGGTCTCAATAATGATAGTTTTTTAAAAAAATAAAGCTGTGAGCCTGGCTTAAACTATTGTAGATATAACACTAACTATGTCCCCAAAAATGAATGTATGGTTGCATATTATATGTATAGGAATCTTGGTAAAGGGTAGGTATGTTGTTTTGTGCCATCAAGCCACCTGTGACTCATAGTGACCCTGTGTACATTATTTCTGAAAGCTGCCCTATCCTGAGCCAATCTCATTGTCTCCAACAGACTTAATTCCATTTCTCCAGTTACTGAGGCTATCCATGTCATCCTGGGACTTCATCCCCTGTGCTGTCCCTCCACACTTAACACCCTTCCAAGAATGATGAACTGGTCCCTCCTGGCCACATGCTTAAAGTATGTGAGACAGCTTAAAATCCTTGTCTCCAGGGAGCAGCCTGGTTTCATCCTCTTCAGTACAGACCCATTTGGTCTAGCAGTCCATGGTATGTTTAACACTCTTCCAGCACCACAACCCCAGCTCTCTGATGCATAGCAAGTAATTGTGAAGACCATGGCCTGGATAAGGCACACTTTAGTCTCCAGGCTGACATCATTGCTCTTCAGTATTCTAGAGAGGTCTCTGACAGCAGACTTTTCCCAATGCAATTCATCTTTTGATTTTCTGACTGCTGGTGAAAAGTGTTGATTGTGGAACTCAGCAAGCTGAAGTTATCAACAATCTCTTCTCCATCCAT